AATGAAACCTTAAAAAATTTTTAAAAAATATGTTTACTCTGCAGAAAGACTGTATATTTACCATGAAACAAGATTATATACAAATATAGAAGAAGCCAGGTGTTTGTTCAAATATATCTAAATTAATTAGGATAGTATATTTAATAATAAGATATCATGGGCTGTATCTCATTAATTTTATTTCAGAGTTGGGTATGGAGTTTTAGATTCAGGTATATACCTATGCGAGTAAATTTTTAATCAATAACCATTAAACTTATATTAGAAAAAATCAGTTGTGAAAATACACATGTGCTGTATGTATGTAAACAGATGCTATAATAAAAAACAGTAGTTGATTAGATAGATAATAAGCCAAGTTTGCCTGGTGTTTTAAAGCCCAGTTTGCACATGCAGACACAGAAACCCTTTCATAGCTTCTCATACACTGGGTCCAGCTACCTATAGTGTTGACTTAATAATTCCAGGACACTGATTTTTGAGAAAACTTTAAGCTGATTTCTTTTTTTAATTTTTTTTTCCAACGTTTATTTATTTTTGGGACAGAGAGAGACAGAGCATGAACGGGGGAGGGGCAGAGAGAGAAGGAGACACAGAATCGGAAACAGGCTCCAGGCTCTGAGCCATCAGCCCAGAGCCTGACGCGGGGCTCGAACTCACGGACCGCGAGATCGTGACCTGGCTGAAGTCGGATGCTTAACCGACTGCGCCACCCAGGCGCCCCTAAGCTGATTTCTTAAAAATTACAATGCCGCAGTGGAGGTGGGGGTCAGGGTAAAATTGTAATGTTGTGGCGTGCCACGTGGTTCATGTGTGTCAAGACCTGTGGCCTGCGGGTGGATGGAGATTCCTGTGATCCCCAGGCTGAGAGAGAGCCCCATGGCGAGCGTTCTCATTTGCTCTCCCTGCAACACGCATGCACGGTGCAATTTGTGAGAAGACCTTTGTCCCATCTTTTTGACTTTAAAATTTGTTACTAGTGAAACTTCCTGATTGTCATCCTTGAAGGCTTTGTTGTCTATTTCCAGGAAAAGTACAAGGTTGACTTTAGAATGTATACTCTAATCCACGAGCACACTTAAGCTCATAGAGTTTTCCGCTGAAACTACCATCAGTCATGCTCCGTAACTCACTGGTTACTTAGAGCACATGCCCATCGGTATTGCTAAATGCATCAGTGAAGGGGCATAAATGGATTCGGAAAACCTGAATACCACTCAGACACTAGATCCATAATATTTATCTCTGAGCAATTGGAGAGGAGCACAGGATCTCAGGGTGGGTCGGTGTTGTGCATCATGGGCTTTCATTGTCATTCTAGCCTTCCTAGCAAAAAAGCTGATGATTCCTTAAGCCTTGGACTTGGACCATTTCTTTTTTTTCAGGAAGGTAGACTATACATAAAATACATTTAATCTTGCCATCTCATCCTTCATCTGTTATGTTCTAAAGTAATGTGATGTTCTTTTTTCTTCCAAACCACTACTTATCCTGCTATTCCTTTGCCAATTAAAAGACTTCCTTCTCCAGCAGGTGCAAAAAACACGGACATTTTACTTCTTTCATGTCTTGTACTGAGGGGAGGCTGGCCTGTGCTGTGCACAGGCACATGTCCCTGCCGTAGACTAGCTGGTAATTAGTCAGGACTCGGAAAGCCCCTAAATGACAGGCTCATTCTGGTAATAGTCAGGTGGCAATACCATGCTGGGGTAGGTGGGGAAGTTCTGCTTCCAGAGCCTGTGTCCCTGTCTGTTGGTTTTCTCCTTTAGAATGGCTTGATAGATTTATTTCTTCTCTTAAAGTGTAAGTTTGTATCAGATTTAATGGGAACTTAAGTTTGTATTTGGAGAAAGAAATGCATCTGCATTGGAATACATGGAGACTCCTACTGTCTTCTCCACTAGGTATCTCCACTAGATATTGGCATATCCTGTACTGTTCTTTACTAAATCTTCTGAGCAGAGGCTCAATCAGTGGTGGCAGGAGCATGCGAGGCCAAAAAGAAGGCTGAGCCGGTGTTTGCTTTGACTTAATTCAGGGGAACATTCAGTAAATTAATTTGGTCGGGTAGCAAGTCTTTATAGTAAATTTATGTTCTGTGCTTTGAGTAATTATTTGATATGGCATCGTACTCTTAGATTATGTTGGTACATGCTCCTTTAAAAAGGTAGAATAGGGGGGCGCCTGGGTGGCCCAGTCGGTTAAGCGTCCGACTTCGGCTCAGGTCATGATCTTGCGGTTCGTGAGTTCAAGCCCCGCGTCAGGCTCTGTGCTGATGGCTCAGAGCCTGGAGCCTGTTTCGGATTCTGTGTCTCCCTCTCTCTCTGACCCTCCCCCATTCATGCTCTGTCTCTCTCTGTCTCAAAAATAAACATTAAAAAAAATTTTTTTTTTAAAGTAGAATAGGGAATGGTTTTACGCATCAGCAAATTATTTGGGGCAAACCTTTTCCCTGATTACTTTTCTACCGAGAAGCTTGTAACTTAGGAGAAAAGTCATAAAGAAATAGGAAGCTCTGGAGTAATAGACTAAGCATTTTAGGTGATAAAACCTTCAACTGCTTTGTAATAAAAGGTTTTTTATTTTGTGACTGAGTTGCTTAGGTGAAGTCATGTATTTTATGTAAAGTATGGCCTTTCCTAGTGTTTATGGATTTTGCATTCTTTTTGCTGGAAAATTACAAACAGCAGAAATGTGATATCTTAGTCACCTGAAGCTTTCAATTCTGGCTGTGTCACTTAGTAACAGTGTGATGTGAGCCTCATTTTCTTCTATATAAAATAAGGATTATAAAGCCAACTCAGGGGAGGTGTTTGGGGTTGAATAGGATTACGAATGAGAAGCACGAATGCAGAGCAGGTCAGTGAGAGTTCCCTTCCTATTCCCCTTTGTACCTTTCCTTTTAAAGACACATTGTAGTATGTTTCGTATTTGAAAATGATAGTAATCACTGATCGTATCAGCACGTGTGGTTCAAGAAGTACATCGACCAACATTCCTTTCCACGCTGTGCACATTGCTCTTGAACTTGGTGGCTGTTCTCTGCTAAATCTTCTAGCCGTCACTGTTTTATACTTTATTTCCTGTCAGCATTTGTGCAAAGAGCACCAAGCATCAGGCTGGCAATGCATTGCCGTTGTACAGTGTGGCCCTGTCTTGCTTTGAGGGTATTATTTCATGTCTTGAAGTACCACAATTTGCTTGTTGGAATGTGACCAGATAAGTGACATCAAACAGCTGTCATCCTTAGTAAGGTGAGCCTATGAAATGAGAGGGAAGCAGGCTGCCAGTACTCTCAAGGTATATGGCAGTATTCTTAATGCTATGGGAAGAGCCTGGGGGTTGTGGGCTTTGACCCACATGGTCATTCTGCCTTCCCCACCCCCACCTCCTGCTCTCTCTTAAGGGCCTCGCCATCCCACCTTGGAAAGAGTTGCTGCTGTTGGCTTGGGTGCTGGGAGAAATCGGGAGCAGGTGTGGCTCTCGAACGTCTTCATATTTGCAGTCGGTGCTGGGTGCATTCCCAGTCCTGGCGCGTAGTGGGTGAGCAGTAAGTGAGCTGATTTGAAGGAAATGTGTGTGAACAGATGAAGTGAACCATAGCATTTGTTTATATTTTTCATGCAGTTGAGTTACTTTCTTCGAGGCTCGAGGAGTTTCCTATGAGGATTAGCTTCTCCATGAAGAATCTGCTCATGCTCTGTAGATTCTTTCTTCTGAAACTGTGCCTGTATTCTTAGAACCCCATAGGAGCTTGGTCACATGATCGGTACAAGCAAACTGCATTTTTATCTTATCTGCTTGTTCTGTCTTCTGCTTTGTGCGTCAGTATTTACTTCTTAACTGAAACAGTCAGTCCTTAGAGATGATGAGTAGTACACGACCCCTTCTTTTCTAAATTTTGTCTCACTGGTGCTTTTCAATTTTCAATTTTCTTTCGTTTTGCTTAATATAAAGTCTTCATTATCCTCCATGTATGATTTGAGGGAGGGTGTTGGCAGTCATCCAAGTCAAATGGGCGCTGGAGATGAAAATGAAAACTCAGGAACATCCCGTTACTATAATTTTTGAATTTACATATTTTTGTTCTTGTTTTAGTCAATTTAATTTTATGTGTCCTTGTAACCCATCTCTTCATTCTTATAAATGATCTTGTGTCTGGGGAACACCCTAGGACTTCTCATTTACCAGATCCACACTCTTTTATTCTACCTAGGCTCCTCTTTCCATGCTCATATGGATTCCAGAAATACAAATTGAGAAGTTCAATGACCATGCCCAGAGAACTTGCGCGTCTTTTCTCTCTCACTCATTTGTTGATAATGTTTAGATTTCAGCCTGACTGGAAATCAAATGTGTGTGTTCTCTAAATTAATAATGGGATCACTGATTCAGAATTTTGTAACTCAATTTGGCTTTTGCCTACAGAATCCAGAGCCCCTGTTATATCACTGGTTGGTGGTCAGCAAGACTTCAGACAGGAATCCCCTCTGCCATTGTACTTTGCCACCTCTTGTGTACTGCCACAATGTCTCTTTTTTGTGGTTGGTTGGCTTTTTTTCTGTCTCTCCCTCCTTCCTCCTTCCTTCCTTCCTTCCTTCCTTCCTTCCTTCCTTCCTTCCTTCATTTTTGCATGAAAGTTTGAAAACTTGATAAGACATCTCATCACTGGATAAAAGTATCTGGAATCAAAGAAAGTATCACATATAACACCAAAAGAATATTAATATGGAAAATGTTTTGTCTTTAATCAGCTTGTTGAATGTATTGTTGAACTTATTTTGCATATTTACTATTGTTTGAAAAGAACCTGGTTTGTTTAATTTGGTAATTTTAGTTATAGTGAGGCTTCTTCCTGAAAGAACTAAAAATGTAGTTTCTGTTATTATTTCATTAAACACAGAAAATGAAAAAGAAAGTGGGGGGGGTGGGGAAGAAGAACCATGGTAGATTTGAAAGCAAATTAATAATATACTATGATTTGACTCTTTTCTCTTTAGATCTTTTAGAGAAGTCTCGAGTTGTTAAGCAACCGAGAGGTGAAAGAAACTTCCATGTGTTCTATCAGCTGCTCTCTGGTGCCTCTGAAGAGCTCCTCAGTAAGTCCCTTTTTCTGTGTTTTAATTTAATTTTTAGTGTCAAAGCATTTTCCAAAGCATTCTTTTTAATTTTCTTCAAAATTTTCTATGACTGTGGTTGAAGTGAAGAACATGGTATGTTTGCTTCTGTCATCCTACCCCAGAATTTGCTTGCTGTATGTCCCTGTGTCTCACCAGATGCTGTGCATACGTCTCAGATGGTTTACTCAAAGAGCTAACTGAATATTGGAGGAGGTGGATCATAATTTTGTTTTGATGTTTTATTTATTTTGGAGAGAGAGAGAGACAGCGCAAACAGGGGAGGGGCAGAGAGACGGTGAGACACAGAATCCGAAGCAGGCTCCAGGCTCTGAGCTGTCAGCACAGAGCCTGGTGCCAGGCTCGAACGCCTAAATCACAAGATCATGACCTGAGCAGAAGTTGGACGGTTCACTGACTGAGCCACACAGGCACCCCAATCATAAGTTTAAACAATAAAATGGAAGAATATAATTGTTTCACTGAGGAAGAAGAAATTAGCAGGAGCCAGGAGAGGAGAACAATTATTTAAAAAAAAAAAAAATTGCTCAGTGAAAACTTAAAAATAGTGGGAAAACATTTGTAATTGATAAAAGAGTTAAAAATCTGACCTCTAGCTATTTTAGAGAACTAATATAAGTCCATCAGAATAGTATCCAGTAATGAATAGCTAAGTGATAAAAGTTTTGAGCAAATAGTTCAAATTGTAAGTATGGAAAGTAAATGACATTTGGGGAAGAATCATTCTCACTAATAATCAACAAGTGTAAGCTAAAACAGCACTGAAGTGTTCACTATTTACATGTATTAGCAAAAGTGATTAAAAAGGACAAAGCTGGCAGAATTGTCAGGCCCTGGTCGGCTTAGAGCTTGTGGGTGTCACTTCAAAGTGAGGACTTCTTCCTGGGGACTAATTAGCAATCCAAAATAAGTCGTAAAATGATCAGAGCCAGACGCACCATTTTTTAGAATATATCCCAATGAAGTAATTCAAAAGAATCCAAAGAACATTTTATATGAAGACCTTTATGGCTGCCCTAATGTTCAATGGCACGGGACTCACTAGGCAGACATCATGTTACAATGAAATAGTATATTGAAGATGTTTTGTATTATAAAAATACGGAAGGGGGCTCACTACAAATAAATGTAAAAAAGTAGTTTGAAATATGTACAACAGTGGTAAAGGTAGATTTTAGAAAAATGCTGTTGGTATTTGGGTATCAATTTTTGTTCTGTTGATTCAGTATCTAATATATGAAAGTCACTTTCATCTGGAGGTTTTAAGGAATGAGATATTAAAGACGGTTAGACTTACTGAGTAACTTACCAACACATATGTGTGATTCAATAGATAAGCTTACACTCGAGCGAGATTTCAGCAGATATAACTACCTGAGTTTGGACTCTGCCAAAGTTAATGGAGTGGATGATGCAGCAAATTTCAGAACTGTTAGGGTAAGTAAGATACAGTCCTTTCATTACTGTTTAACAAGGTACTGCCTTCACCTTATTCTGTGACTGAACATAATCAAGGTAAGCAGCATTCCTTTTCTTTTTTCTTTTTCTTTTTTTTTTTTTTTTTAACATTTATTTATTTCTGAGAGACAGAGAGAGACAGAGTATGAGCAGGGGAGGGGCAGAAAGAGAGGGAGACACAGAATTCGAAGCAGGCTGCAGGCTCCGAGCTGTCAGCACAGAGCCCGACGTGAGGCTCAAACTCACAAACCATGAGATCATGACCTGAGCTGAAGTCGGACGCTTAACCTACTGAGCCACCCAGGCGCCCTCCTTTCATTACTCTTTAAAATAGGTGACACTCTTTTGCTCATTTGGAACTGGTAACAATTCTGAGTTTTCTTAAAACCATAACTCATGCCCCCTAAGGTTTTAGAATTATACAACAATTTATTGTATTCTTACTAAAATCCTACAATATTGTAAAGGCCCATGCTTTACTGGAGCATGCGATTTTGCTATTTATCAACAGGAGCTTTCTCATTATATTATCCTAACTCTTTTAATGCCGTCTTTAAATTCCAAATATTTTTGTAGCCATAGCTTAATAGTTAATTTCCAACTGTAAGAACTGTCCCAGGAAAGCATTAAATCGATACTGTTTTTGAGAGAAAACTTCCAAAAATCACATGTAAGCCAGAATGAGTAGCATTTCACGTTCATTAGAAAATAAATTATTTTATTTTTATTTTTTAACGTTTATTCATCTGTTTTGAGAGAGAGTGTGAGTCGGGGAGGGGCAGAGAGAGAGAGAGGGTGAGAGAATGCCATGGAACCCAGCGTGGGGCTCGATCCCACGAACCCTGCGCTCATGACCTGAGCTAAAATCAAGAGTCGGATGCTCAACCAAATGAACCACCCAGGCGCTCCTGAACATAAATTGTTTTAAACAATATCCTATCTGCTATGTTTATGTGCGCTTTAAAAATTACTCCTTTATGACATGATATGGTAACTGTACTTTAGCTGTGGTGGTAGGGAGGCAGGAAGTAGGTCAGCTTAGCAGAAATAAGACTGGCATCAGTTGATCTTCAAGGCTGAGTGAAAATAACTTGGAGTTCTTTTCCTGCTCTCTCTACTGTTGTGTATGTTTGAAATTTTCCATGACAAAAAAGTTATATTACTCCCATTGCTAGGCTAGGTAGTCTCATCACAAACAAACAAACAAATAAAACAAAACAAAAAAGCTGTTGGCATTTATTCTCAAAAAGAGTATTTCTCTGAGTATGTCATTTGTTAAAAACTCTGTAAGCATCCTCATACAGCAAGCCTCTCGCTTCCTGGACATGAATTAAGAGTTGAGTTCAAGTCCAGTTCTATAACTGCCTTGCCTGGCAAATCATTGGCACTTAATAAAAGCTTATGACTGAAGGAATGTTCCCTGTTACCTGTAATGACTTGGGTCGGGCACTTCACCTTTGCAGACCAGTTTTTCTCTTGTAAAATAAACGAGGAGGTTTTTATATAGGAGTCATAAAAGCTTTTTGTTCGGTTTTATTTCTAGCAGCAGAACCCGGTATAAAAAAACAACACGTACTCACACGCATACACGCATGTGCACACAGACACACACATACACACTGAGCTGCTGCGGATGAAGCGGGGGGTTGGAACCCAAGGCTTGGCTCTTAGCCTCCTCTTCTTCCAAATTCCTCTTTGCTCCCCTCCACCTCTTTGCCCCAGCATGCAGAGTGCCCCAGGGACCCTTGAATCACAGCTTGAAACCATTAAACAAGCTACAGCCCCAACTGGTGCTGTCAGGTCTGTTCTTAGGTTTCCTCTTGGAGGGCTTATTCTGGGGCGCTTTGTCTTTTTTGTTGTTGTGTGTTTAGAAACAAATCTGTTGCATGATTCATTAAAAAAATAATGTAAAGAGTGACAGAAAGAAAACAGCTGCTTTTCTCCCCCCCACTCCCAGAATGCCATGCAGATTGTGGGTTTTATGGATCACGAAGCTGAGTCTGTCCTGGAGGTGGTGGCAGCCGTGTTGAAACTGGGGAACATCGAGTTCAAGCCCGAATCTCGAGTGAACGGTTTAGATGAAAGCAAAATCAAAGATAAAAATGGTAAGTCAGCAGAGAGTCAACCTTATATAGCAAACTTGCTTTTGAGCATCTGCCCACTTCTTAATCTAGAAAGAAAACTTCTGTTCACTGGAAAACTTCACTGGAAAATGCTTTCCAGAGAAACTGAACAGAAGCATAATTCGAGCTGGGTTTTAAGTCTTCTGAGTTCTACATTTTATACTATTTGATTTGAATGTGCTTTAGGAAGAACATCCTAAGCCTTGACAAGGATTTTTAGCAGCACATGTGTAGTCACTTTTTGTATCCGTCCTCCAACAGAGTTAAAAGAAATTTGTGAGTTGACCGGCATTGATCAATCAGTTCTAGAACGAGCTTTCAGTTTCCGAACGGTTGAGGCCAAGCAGGAGAAGGTTTCAACTACACTGAACGTGGCTCAGGTGGGTGAAACATCGTGGCCAGAAAGTGAGTTTTTAAAAAGTCTGTGATATTTTTTACATAAGTGGACACACAAATTTCATTTTGCAGGTTGTTATCCTAACTGTCCATACTGTATTGCAGACATCATTCTAAGCACTGGGAGCACAGCAGTTAACTAAACAGATAAGGATCCCTGCCCTCGCAGAGGTTAAAATTTTGGTAGGAGGAGTGGCCATAGCCAGTAGTCCTCGTAAATAAATGAATTTATACAGCAAGCTAGCAGCAGACAAGGAGAAAAACGAGAACAGAGTAAGGGAGACCCACTGTGCTGGGGCAGGGAAGTTGCGTCAGTGAGCTGGGAAATGATACCACTGGCATGATCTGCCTTGTATTTCAAAGGGTCATTCTGGCTGCAATGTGGAGAGCAGAGTGCAGCAGGAGAATGGGTAAAAGCAAGGTGTCTTAGTTAGGCTACTATAACAGAATACCATAGTCTAGGTAGCTTAAACAAACAAAAACAACCATTTATTCCTCAAAGTTCTGGAGGCTGGGAGTCTGAGATCAGGGGACCAGCATGGTTGCATTCTTGGTGAGGGCCGTCTTCCTGGTTAACAGATGACCACTTTCTTGCTGTATCCTCTTCATAGGGCAAGGGGTGGGGGAGGGGAGGGTGTGCTCTGGTGTCCTCGTCCCCCTATAAGGACCCCAGTTCCATCATGGGAGCTCTGCCCTCATGACCTCATCTAAATCTATCTCCTAAGGCTCCCACCTTCAAATACCATCACACTGGGGATTAGGGCTTCAACATATGGATTTGGGCCTGGGAGATGATACAGACGTTCCGTTCATGGCACCAGGAAGCTGCAAGGAATTGTGTGCTAACCTAGAATTGATGGTGTTTGAACCAGGTGGTAGCAGTAGAGTGAGAAGCGGTTACACCTGGGTACATTTTGATGCTGTTGGCTTAAGATGTGGCATGAGAGAAAGAGAAGAGTCAAGGATGGCTCCCAACATGTTTCACTCAAGCAACTGGAAAACTAGGATTGCCATTCAGCAATTTGGAGAACACAGTAGGAGAAGCCAGTTTGGAGAGGCCAGATTGGCTTTCCTGCCTTCCTTTTCGTATACCATCCATCTGAAGACAGTGAAATCTAAGACTCAAGTCTGATTTGCTTACTTCTTCTGTCCTTTGGTTCAAGTTCAGTGGATGGATGAATGGATGGATGCACGTGTGGATGTTACACCAAGGAAGCTTCTGAAGCCCCTTTCAATGTAAAGCCTTTGTTCTACAGCTTAGACATTTTCTCACCCGTCTGTGCTGATCTGCACTGGAATTCAATGACTGATTCGGCACTTTTGGCACAGAGGCCTACTTTATTCTCACCCTATAGTCCAACTGTATTCTCCTCCTCTTTGTAAGTGGCCTTAAGCATCTGTAAGACAGTAGGTGGATTTAGTCTTTCTCTTTGCCTCTCTGAACTGGTCTTTGCTACTAACCCAAGGATGCCTATGTGTCTGCAGCTTTCAGTGTTGATTTCTTATTTCAGGTGAGGTGCTTTGACTATGAAAAACACTGTAACTTCGGTTATATGTAAATTTGATTTGTAACAATCCTCTTCTGGTTAGAACTGTTGCGTGTCCTTCTTCCTAAATTACTGCTTCTGCTGTCATGTCTGTCCAGGTCAGTCTCACTCATGCAAAGTCAGATGGTGAGTCACTGACTTAATCAAGAAAAATTCATTGAGAGCCTGCTCAGCACAGGCCCCCATGTAGACCATTAGCAGGGACATAAGGGATGAAGGAGAAGATGGTTTCTGAGCCAGCCTTGAAGGATTTAGATGAATAAAGAATGGGCAGTAGGGGGTTTCAAAAAGCAAACTGTGAGAAAAGCCAAGTTTGGAGTCCACGTCAGGGGGAGGGGTGGTCTAGCTTGGCCGTAGCTTTAGACACGCGAAGGGGATTCAGAGCAACGTGGCTGGAAAGGTTCAGTGTGGAGGTGGTTCTCAAACTTTAAAACTTGAGTGTACCTCAGTGCCACCTGAAGGCTTTGTCCAACACGGTTTGCAGGCTGTGCCCCTAGGCTGCTGTATTCAGTAGGCCTGAGGTAGGACTGAAGAGTTTGCATGTCTAACAAGTTCAGTGCTGCTGCTGCCGGTGGTCCAGGGACCACATTTTGAGAACCACTGTACTAAGGTCACACTGAGTTTAGACGTTTTCAATAGGCAGAGTGGGGATCGTTAAGTAAAAAGTATTGCAATGAGAAAATGCCTCCTGTTTAAGGAGGTCCTTTAAGAATATCCACATGTATGTGGATATATATGGAATATATATGTGGGTAAATGTTGGTCTGTTTTTACTGTGTGTTTTACTCTCGCTTTTTAATCATCCTCTCCGGAAACCGGGCCCAGGTGCGTCTTACTTTATAAGCTTGAGTCACCTTACATCACTGGGTTAAACTTTTCCACATTGTTTTAACCTTTAGCATGAAAGAATTTGGCTTGAGGTCCTCGATTTTTCAGTTCCTTATTTAAGTTCTTTTTTTTTTTTTTTTAATGTAGGGTTTAGGTTTCTACCAGTCTTACTGCCTAAAAGGTTTTGATTCCAGCAAGAACTAATTTGTTTTATTAATGTTTCCTCATAGCTTCAGTTCTTGGACCCCATCATCATCCATATTGCCCCATTCCTCATTTTGCCCAAGGCATTTAGCTCTTTCCTCAGATACAGTGACTCATGGTGAAATGATAGGAACTCAAGACAGAGTTGTAGTTCAGTTTTTGCCACATCCTCTCTCCTTGGCTTCCAAGCCCTCAGTAATCTGACCCTGCACCCTTTCTTTATCTCAGTTTATTCCCTGCTACTTCTATAAATGCCATGCTTATTTTTACCCGGTGCCTTCGCTCTTCCTTATCCCTTCCCCACATGGCGTGGCTAATTCTTCCTGCCTATCTGAATGGTCCATCTAATTACCCCTCATCCAGGAAGATCACATAGTCCCCCTCTTCTCCCTTCTGGGAATTCCTTTTTCCCCTGCTGTTGGACACTTGTTCTCTGATTGTTTCACTCATGGATTTGGTCTCCACCACTCCACTGTAAGCTGCTACAGGGTAGGCCCCCCCCCCCATGGCCAGGCATCTCTTATGTTTCCACCTGGGCCACACCTAACACCAGTCATCGCTGAAGCACATTTCACTTGGGATTTTTTCAGTGCGCTTCAATGCCGCTGTAGAAGTGCAGTCTCTTCATGTTGTGCTTAGAATCTGAGATGGTGAATCCATGCTCTCAGTGTCTTCCTTGATTTCTGTACACCTTGTTAGTGATCCTTAAATGAGAATAAACATTCCTTCCCGTACTGTGGAGGATGTTATGGCGATTCGGTGGCATGAATCAGACTCTAGAAATCAGGGCTGGCAGATTGGCAGCCCCTGGTACCAGATATAGCTCAATAGGCATATTTTATTTGATGAAAGGGTAGTTTTGTTGTCTTGTTGTTCTGTTTGTTTTGTGTGCCTGCTTTTTAAATTTTGAATTTGAGTGCCTTTAATGTGGAATGCGTCTACAGATCATACTGTTTCCCATTCATTTCTGTCATGTAGTCCCTGGAAACATTTGAGTTTGAGACTTCTGGAATAAGTATTTGTTTGAAAGATATAAAGAAGATGAACATGGGCTGTGAATACATTTTAAAAAATATAAAGGAGTTTGCCAGAATGAGTTGTCACTATTAGTTCGGTTGCATATTGAAATGGTGGTTTGTTGAAATCAGCACATAGCTAAAAAAAAAACTGGATGCCATTATGATGACATTCTGTTTATAAATAGGTAATGTTTTGAGGTTATGCAGTGTTTTGAGATAACTGGAATTTGCGAGAAGAAAGGGGAAAGGATTAAGAAAGAATTCTATAGGCTCACAAGTGGGATAGGAAAAGGATACTTCAGAAATTGTAATATAATTTATATTATATTACATGTATAGGCTTACTCTGTGCCAGGCGCTGTTCTAGGCACTTATATGGCCTATGTGAAGAAAGTAAAAACTAGAAGGAGGATAGAGAAAAGGCATTCATCTAAATCCAGGCTTCTTTCCCCATTTCAGCATATATATGCATTTTCTGCAGTGGAATCATTAACCACTGTTACCCTCCAAGATGACATTGTGTGCTTGGGTTTTATTTTTTTTGTGCCAATTTATTGATGGATTTTCTAGGGAGAGGTTCAGGATTAGCATGGAAGTGTCAGATGAACTGGAAAGGTACCATAAGCTACGATTTGTTGCCAACGAAGGGCCTATGTTATTAAAGCTGTTACACTTCATTTAGAAAGAAATGTGGGAAAAGAATTTCTGTATAATCTAATAAGTTGTGTTCTTTATAACACAAAAATGTAAAGCTTTAATAGTAATGCTCAAATTTCTGCTTATAAGCAGTGAAATGCATGCCTGTGGCCAGAGTGTTAAACACAGCAGCAAACTGGAGCGACTAGGTGGCTCAGTCAGTTGAGCATTCAACTGTTTTTTTTTTTTTTTATGTTTATTTTTGAAAGAGGGAGAGAGAGCACAAGAGAGGGGCAGAGAGAGAGAGGGAGAGAGAGAATCCCAAGCAGGCTCTGCACTGTGAGTGCAGAGCCCAACTCAGGGCTTGATCTCACGAACTGTGAGATCGTGACCTGAGCCAGAATCAAGAGAAGCGTCTGACTCTTGATTTCAGCTCAGGTCATGATATCAGGGTTGTGGGATCAAGCCCCAGTCGGGCTCCGTGCTGAGTGTGGAGCCTACTTAAGGTTCTCTCCCTCTGTCCCTTTCCTCCACTCATGCGCTTGCTTGCTCGCTCACTCTCTTTGTAAAACAAAACAAAACAAAACAAAACAAAACAAAACAAAACAAAACCCAAAATCCCAGCAGCAGACCGTCTTGCTTTACTCCCCGGAAGCTGCTGGCGCTCGGGCCTCCCCAAGAGCACTGCATCACATTGTTGGTGTGCACTAGCTAAATGCTCGTGGCACCCGATATGTGCAGGGACTCTTAGGTGCTTCCTGGCAAGGTTGACTTTCTCCAGGGTGTGCCTTCTAAGTCAGGGGTGGAGAGACTATGTCCTCTGCCTCTTCTTTGGCAAGTAGCTCTGAAGAGCTTCAAATAAATGAATAAGCAAATAAAAGTGTTTATTTGTATTATACAGTATATTGCCCACAGTGTATTGTGACTCTAGCCTCTAGATGTTATGGAATATCTTTTTTAAAATGTTCGGAAGGGGTGCACCTGGGTGGGTCAGTAGGTTAAGCATCCGACTTTGGCTCAGGACATGATCTTGCGGTTCGTGGGTTTGAGCCCCGCAGTAGGCTCTATGCTGACAGTGCGGAGTCTGCTTGGGATTTTCTTTCTCTCTTTCTGTCTCTGCCCTTCCCCTGTTCGTGTTCTATGTCTCTCTCTCTCTCTCTCTCTCTCTCTCTCTCTCTCAAAAATAAATAAACATTAAAATTTTTTTTTTTAATGTTGAGAAGGTTGAATGAAGGAAAACATTTCTGAATCACATCAGTCAAAACCATTTTAATGTTTTTCCGTTGAGTTTCCTTTCCTATGTGTAGGGGTTAAAAAGATATAGTCACTGTATTAAATAGACAGATTTTTATTTTCACAAAACATAAGCATTTTCCATTTTATTACCTAATGTTCATAATGATCATTCTGTGATAACTGTGTAACTTCCCTTTCAGTAGGCTTTCATTTATTTTTCTTACTATTCCCCTGTTGTTGGACTTCTAAAGTGCCTCTGATTTTTCTCTGTTCTGTAATACAGAGATGAGTATCTTTATGGAGAAAGTGTTTGCAATATTTAGAATTAGTTTCCTGGGATGCAAAAAAGTATAATGATTGAGGATAAATAATTTGCCCAGTTCTCTTAACGGTTTAATTGTTCATCCAGAGTATAGTAAAAACTGGCTCTGAAAATAACTTGAAATACAAGAACTTTAAATATTTTAAAAACACCTTTATTATTTTATTGACATTAAGCATTGTGACAATCGTGTGTGTTGAGTTTTTCTTGTCTTTTCTTTTCTTTTTCAATAGGCATATTATGCCCGTGATGCTCTGGCTAAAAACCTCTATAGCAGGTTATTTTCATGGTTGGTAAATCGAATCAATGAAAGCATTAAGGTACTGAATCTCTGCAACCAGATAAATCAGCTGTAATAGATGTGTTCAGATTATAAACGTTAAGTTAAAGATATTTTAATTTTATAATCAGATAAGACTGTTCCTTGAAAATAATTTACCTTGCATAGAATTGAAATTTGTCAGGACTCTGTTTTGTTTTGCATAGATGTTTTTGTAAGAAATCTCACCGGTCAGTGGCCTCATGGGTTTTGCAGAGTTAACTCTGAGAGTCTGCATCCCAGGTCCTGGTCGCGGCTCATCTAACTAGTTGTACACACTTGGCTGAAAAGGTCACTTGACCTCTCAACCTACTGATATGTTTGTCAATAAAATGAGGGTATTGGAGTATTGGGAGTTTGAAAGGCCCGACCTATTGTAAGATTCAGTGATTGTTTATTATAATTAGGCATCACTAATGCCTTCTTTAAATAAGTCATCTATCATTAAAATTTCTGGAAAATTCTATACCAGTATCCTATGTCATAGATTAAAAAACAACAACTAAATTATAGTTATTCTAGTTGTGAAACACAGTTAACTTGTAACATAAGTCTATCTTCCTTAGTATGCTTTTAGTGTTATATTTCAGGCCTAAATTCAACTCATTATTTTAAAACTTTTTTTAAGGCACAGACAAAAGTGAGAAAGAAGGTCATGGGTGTTTTGGACATTTATGGTTTTGAAATTTTTGAGGTAAGCATTTTTCTATTCTTTGTATTGTTTCTATTCATGCATAATAGTTGGAAATTAAATCATATATTCTATAGACAGCATTTAATATATAGTTAATATAACTTTGAATCTACAAAAAACCTCTGTGCTGATGTAACAAAACGTGTGTGTGTGTGTGTGTGTGTGTGTGTGTGTGTGTGTGTGTGTATTATATGTGTGTGTGTTTAAGTGCTGAGAGCCAGCATTTTGGAGACAATGCTGTTTAGGAAGAACTTCTTGTATCAGTATTTGACTTTTGTAATTACAGATTCAAAATTCTTACTGGGCAATTTCCAACAAGGTTTATGGACATTGTGCCTGTCGTCATTCAGTCATTTGTAGGAAAGTGAGACAGGATGATGCCATGAAAAAGCCAGGGACGGGAGAGCCAGATGCCAGTCTGGCCTGGCCAGTGCTGGCATTTCATCCTGATGGGCTCAGGCTCAGGGTCTGGATTGGGTGATTTGTTGGGTCTCATCCAACTGCAATCTTATAGTGTGAGTTCTGTTGCAAAGATTGAAAGAATTTCTGGTAAACTTCATAATGAATTTTTTAAAAAGACTGCATGCTTATTACAAATTAAATATTTAAAAATTATATACTTATATTGGAATTTCCTATTTATTCTTTTGCTTTGACATTTAGAAGGTGTTTTAAGAATTTTTGTTTCGCTTTGTTTTGCTTTATTTTTTTGTTTTTTGTTTTTTGTTTTTTGCTCCTTTCCCCATTGTAAGGATCTTTTAAAACTCTTACTCTTATTTCTCGGGAGTGGTATTTTAGTTTGGTTCAGGAAAATAACAAGTAGATCAGGCTCCTCCTCTCTTCATTCTCCCCATAAGTAATGATTTGTGAATTCCTTTAAATAACCAGGCCCTGCCCAGAATGACCACCAAAAGTGTTTATGTGTTCCAAATTATCAGGTTCACAGAACAGAAAAAAAACATCAGCCCCCTCCCTGCAGCTAAGCCAGAACTTTCCAACAAATGTCTTTTTCTTACAACATTTATTTTTGTAATAAATTTTTGTAAATCAAGATCCCTGCTTGATTTTGTAAATCAAGATCCCTGCTTGATCATGTTTTGTATTTAGTAGCCAGGGGTAAATCATTCTTGAGGGCTGACTGTATGCAAGCATTGCGGGAAGTGTTACATATGTTGTCTGATTTAATTTTCACAAACACTTCATGAAATAGTTACTACTATTCCTATTTTACAGGTGAGTAGATGAGGCTCTGAAGGTCAAGTCACTATGCTGGAGTTACATGGCTACAAAATGGCAGACTCAGGACCTAAATCCTAGGCCCCCTTCATAAATAATAAAAAACCTCTGATAGGGCCTTTTTGTTACTTTTCTCCCCAAACTCACAGGGTCCCCAGTACCTGGAAATAAAGGAGAAAACCCAAACATGATAAATTTCTCAGTCCCTATTTCTGTACCATTGCCTCATTCCAAACTGACCAGCATGGGGAACACCCGTGGAGTTCTTCTACGTGCTGGTGGCCAAGCGTGGGACACCTGTGCTGTGTCCTGCCTGCTGCCCCCTGTCCTGCCGACCATTGAAAACTGTTCTTCAGCACAATGTCCACTTGTATTGATGCCTCTTTAGCAGACTACGCAAAAGAAAGTTTCTGGTCTCATGGCAATAGGGAAGAATTTGAGGTTTGTGAGTGAGGAGAACTGCTTGAGTATACTCAGAACTCATGGTGATGAAATTAGTTTCTTTCTAGCAAGTCCTCAGGTTACTGTTACCAAAGGGCAGCCGGTCAAAATCATTGTTTATAGTTGGCAGGGAAAATGATTTCTTACCTAGCACACTGCTGATCTATATTTAGATGGTTTCATGAACAGGACAAAAGTAGAGATCTTACTAGAAAGTTGGAAGGAAAAACACACACACACACACACACACACACACACACACACACACACACATTTAATGATGTATCTAAAATCAAAGAAACTGGTTTTATTTTATTTTTATGTTGCCATAAGAAGATTTATTGATCTATTAGGCCACGTGCCTAATGTCATGTCACGATACATGAAAACTTTTTTTAATAGGATAATGGGGTCATGAGGGGACATCAGCTTATCTTTACATTCTGGTCTGTCCTAAGATCTAATCAGCCATGTGGTAAGTGACCACACAGCACTCAGGGAGCTGAGTTATACCCCATGAGCAGTTTAACCATGCCTAAGTGAGGAAGTCATTTGTCATTATTTATTTACTGCCTAATAGGAATCATATTCCTGCGGTAAACAAGACAGCTGTTCCTTCCCTGCATGGAGCCTACAGTGATATCAGCCGACCCTAAGATGGAGGGTATGTTCCTGGCTGAGGGCACATCCTATCTGGTAGAAGGTCTAATCAAGAAACTAGGTTACTTTTTAAAAATGCGTTTGCTACAGATCTAATCCAAACAGAAGTTAGAGGGGCGCCTGGGTGGTTCATTCAGTTCAGCTTCGGACTCTTGATTTCGGCTCAGGTCATGATCTCATGGTTCGTGAGTTTGAGCCCCGTGTTGGGTTCCATTCTGTCAATGCAGAGCCTGCTTGATACTCTCTCTCTTCTTCTCTTTCTGCCCTTCCCCTTCCCTCCCTCCCTTCCCCCCACCAAATAAATAAACTTAAAAACAACAACAACAACAACAACAACAACAACGAAGTTAGGTGTTCTGAGTGGACACAACCTGTAAATTGGGACGGGGTAAAACATCCTGTAGCAATGTGGGAATATTTTTTACTTAATGGCCAATTCAGGTTTCTCTCCAAGCCCATCTTTATGAATGTGCTTCACTTCTGCAAGTTATATCCTGATTTTTCTCAACACTGTTACAACTATGGACTTCAGTTATGAAAATGCCTGCATTATATTTGAAAATGCCCTTCTTTCTTCTTCAGAAGAATGTTCCAGCTCAGTAGTTCCTAAACTTAGCAGCATGTTGGAATCACTTGGGGAGCTTTACCCAAAAGCAAACAGGTTATATTTTTATTCTTTTTAAACAGAACTTTCGGGAGAGCCTGGGTGGCTCAGTTGGTTAAGCGTCCTACTCTTGGTTTTGGCTCAGGTCATAGTCTCAGGGTTTGAGAGTGCAAGCTTGGGGTTCTCTGTCTCCCTCTCTCTCTGCCCCTCCCCCACTCGTGTTCTCTGTCTCTCTCTAAATAAATAAACTTAAAAAATAATAAATAGAACTTTTGGCACGGCATAAGGAATATGGTCACCAATATGGTAATGGCATCCTATGGTATATGTGCTGACAAAGCGAGCACTAATGGCATCCTATGGTGACAGACGGTAGCTACCCTGGTGGTGAAAACAGCACAAAGTATAGACTTTTCGAGTCACTATGTTGCACACCTGAAACTAATGGAATGTGTGTCAACTGTACTCAAAAAAACAAACCAGAAATTTCAGTCAAGGCCAAATTAGCCAGTCATGTCTACAGCAGATCTTATGATGGCCCTAAAATCATGAGAAGTTATTTTTCCTTCTCCATGCAATAGGTACTTTGATTTTTTTTCCGTTTCCTTGAGAGAATTAAGACTTGTCTTTCATTATAACTAATTGTTCTCTGCATTTTCCCGTGTAAACTTTCTCAGGTTAATCTTCCAAACATCTTGATTCTTCGTAATCTGCTTAATTATTTATTTTACAATTAAATTTATTTGGGGAGCACAGACTAGAGATTTGGGTGTGTGCTTTTAGATACTTTTACCTGCTCTTTGATACAGAATTAGAAATGGTTTTTTTTGCTTGTGATTTATTCACATGCGCACCCCAGATGCCATCCCATAGTTTTCCTGGATTCTCAGCAAAATTAGAGAACATGGAAACGTCAGGAAGTTCATACTGTTGAACATAAGGAAGCCAGGTAATTAAGGACTTAAAAGTACCACAAGCTGAAATATAAGGGCTCAAGGTCTGACTTAGGGAGAAGTATTCAGAATCCTCATCAATGCATAAATGAAGATTTCTGTGATACTGTCTACCCCAGTGAAAATAAACTGATAGAACATAATGAAAATTCTGCCTTTATTTTCCTTGAAATTGACTGCAAGAATTAAGGGTTCTGCCTTGTAGAACACCCTGGGCATCACTTTAAAAATTGGACAGTAAAGGTCCAGAGGAAAAAAAAAAAAATTAATGTCTCTAATTCTGCCTCATGACCCCGTTGACAGTTCCCATGAAAACACTTTTCAGCTGAGCTGGTGGAAACCTTTCATCCATTTTGGTCCGTCTCTAAACGGAAGAGGGAAACTGATGCATTAAACCATGGGATGATGACACATGGATTTGACTGCAAAGCATTCCAGGGCCAGCTGTGTGAATAGCCCTGCCTTGCTGGCCGCATGTGATCTGATGTCAGTTTGGAAAACAGATTAGTGGAACACTGACACCGAAAAGAAGGGGAAGTGAGTTAAAATCCACAGAGAAGAAAAATCTAGCCAGAAATCCTTATTTAACGTCAGTCCGATTTTGTAAGGGAAGAGAGTTATGTAATCCAGACACTCCAATTCCACACAATCAAGTTTGGATGTTCTTGTAACTGATCTCTGAGAGACGTTCGTAGCAGCACCATAAAAGAACAACAGCTATTCTTTTTAAAAAATTAAATTCAAGACTAAGTTGAGCCATCTGAATCGATTTAGCTTCTTGTTAAGTGCTTATCTGGGAAGTACTACAATTGGCAGGTAGTTTACTGGGAAAATTAATAAATTATTAGTGTGCCATAGGCCAAAACAGAACAGCAGGCTGGATATTTCACTTTTCATACGATGGAGCTAGTTTCGTGCAGGCAAAGGGCTAGTTATTTTGAAGGGCTAGCTCTTTCTTCATCTTGCCCTTTTGAGCCTCATATACATATATGAACCTCATATACATATATCGTATATGAACCATATACAGTAAAGATATGAGAGGCTAGATGCAATGATTGTTCCAAATCAAATGACCTAATAGTTGGGTAAGAGTCAGTATAGCTTGGTAAGTGTGCCTCATGGTTATGAGATTTGTTTTCTAAATTGTTTTTAGAAGAAAATTGATCCTGGTCATAGGCAATCCCTTCTGTTCCAGCTTTTTTCCTCTGATTTCGTTCTCCACGTTCTAGAGAACTTGAAGAGGAAGGAGAAGATTTAAAGTACCCTTTAGAGTGAAAATGGAGGGAAATAATATGGTTCATAATAGTATGGACGTCATTACTCTTCGCTTTAACCTTTTAAATCAACGCTTAAAGTATTTAAGAAGAGCACTGTCATGCTGTTTTTCTTAAAACTTACCATGTTTGTGTACTGGGAAGAAAAATGTTACGTATTTAAAGAATACAACACTGAAATGTCTCCCTGCCTCATAGTGTATAAGATATCATTAGCCTCCTCTGTTGCCAAGAAAATGCAAAGAAATTAATAACAGGCCAGTATTTTTGATTCATCTTTCAGAATCCTTCCAAGCAGAAAGTTCATAGTTGATACTTAAGAGTATAAACTGGTTGTGAACTTCATTGGGGGGTATGGTTTGCTGTTTCTTTGATGTTGAAAAGGTGGACTCAAACTCAGGAATTCTTGACAGAAACCCTAGACTTTAAAGTTTTGGTATATTACATACTTCTAAACCTACCAAGTTCTTCCTATCCCGGTATACTCTTGGTGACTACAGTGTAAAACAGTATCAAACGTAGACACCTTGCTGTTTACCTGTTTTTCCTAGAGCAGTCCAATGGGGGTGGGATGGTTCTGGGCTCCATTCAGGGAGATGGTATAATGGAAAATTCTGGATGTGCGTATTTGAAGATGTTCCCCAAAGTTTTAGTTTTCTCCCTTAGCCTTTGGGGATAAATGTGACTTAGACAGTGGAGACACATTCCATGCATGGGGCATGGGTAGAAAACTGGAGACGGGAGGGGAGATGAGTCATTCAAGTTCCTGCCCACTTCCTCCTTAGGAGACTTTGATTCATGGGACTGACATGTGGGAGACAGCACCCAGCTCAGGGATCTCTGGCCACCCACGGTTCTCGACACACAAAAAGCATCCAAATATCAAATTGCTTCGGGGCCTTTGTATTCATGTGATGGTTCCTAGATCCAGTTTAGCTGTTTTCTAAAGGAAAGAAGGACCCGAGTGGAAAACCCAGCGGTGTTTAGTGCCTGTGTGCATGAAGTCACGTTCAGAGCCTGTGCAAGGTGCAGCTATAGGAACTGCTGCCAGGCTGCTCCTTAATTTTTTTTTTTTTTTGCAAATTATAAACTTTTGCATGTTATTTTTAATGATTCGTGAAGTCCCATTTCCCAAAACATTTGGACAATGTCAGCAACTCAAACACAGATCATAAGAAATGCGATGGCCTTCATTTTTGGCAATAATGATTGCTCTGGTGATTTGTAACACGTTTTGCAGGCTGTGAGGTATGTTTGCAATAAATGCTCAGATATTTCTGTGGGGAAGTAAGCTGGTTTCTGCCTTGGTGATTGTGCTGTTCTATTTTGTTTTTGTTCTTTAAGCAACAGGATAAGGTAGGAGAGACCAGTTTTTTTCTTAGGCTGTCTCCAGAACGCTCTCTCCTTACCACATTGTTTATGTTTGAAGGAGAGACATAGCAGGGACAGCACGGGGGGGGGGGGGGGGGGGGGGTGAGGGGGAGTGCGGTGGTGAGAAAGAGGAGCTGCTTCTGGATCTTGCTGGATCTCTTCACTCTTGTGGTGACCTGCTAATTGCCTCTGTCTCTGACTCCCTGGGGCGATGGGTTATACATACACGTTTTTCCTGATAATTTAGAATTAGACGCATTAAATCCTGAAGCCTTGGGACTTCAAGCAAGTCACATGAGGTATTGTCTGAGTCAGACTTTTTATCCTGCGTAGCTCACGCCTCGCAGAACCACAGTTCAGACACCACTTGTAGGTATTGTAGACCTGTGGTTTGAACTGGTTGGACGTGTGTCTTGATTTCGGAGTTTTATGCCAATCAGAAACATAGCCCGAATGGTAAAATCTGTCATTTGCACCAATGAATAACTGTCGGTAAGTGTTTACTGTTAGAAGTTTATGGCAAATTAAGAACTGATTGCATTTTGTATAATCTGTCCCTTTTTGCACCAGAATGCAGTAAGTATGAACTGTTTGCAGTGACAGTCTGTTGCATGCTCCTGTGTTAATGGCTTCTCCAACTGTGTGGATTTTGCAGTAAATGGCCATTGATTAACTGTGTGCAGATATGAAATAGAGAATTCATACAGGAATCTTTAAATGTTGAAGGGAAATCCAGTTGAGTTCTAACTTACTCCTTGAGTGGCGTTGTAATTGTGAAGCTTTGCCTCTGATTTCTAACCTGCTTGTGTGTATTTCATAGTCCTGTTGCAGAGCGTACTTCAAGCTGTTCGTGGTCATGTGATGTGTCCAAGGACACTACTTATTCTCCACTTCCTTTTCCTCATTAGTTACCATATGAAGTTCAGCATCATTTTGCTTAAATGGCTCCATGAGCATAGACTTATTAAATTGACAGAAAGGATTTACTCCGTGGATTTCATGGAAACCCATTAAAACTTTAATTTTATTTGTAAGTTTAATTTGGGGTAGTGGTATTATATAAGGATATATTTTACCAAACTAAGAAAGCCAGACTTCCTCATTGAGAAATGACCTTATCCTGACCATAATCATAATAAGGCGTCTATCCCAGATGGGCTTGTGCTTCTGACAAAAATTGTTAAGTTCCAAAGATTAGAACACATAGCTTTTAAAATTTTATGTGAAAATGAGTATTGGGGAAGGCCCTTTGTGCCTAAGACTGTGTTCGTCTTAAAAATCAGCGTGTGCCCTTTAGTAAGAACCTGCAACATTAAAAACAAAAAACAAAATAGCTTTTATCCTTGACCAGATTTAGCATTAAAAGATTAGTCAGTGATAGTGTGTATGTGTCATTTAAGGTTTAGAGTTAGAAGTTTTCCCTGATTAACTAGTTCATCACTGGTGATAGGAAACCCTTAGCTGACTTCCGGCAAAGAATGTGGTCAGATACTGCGTGACTTTTTTGCTTTCGTCACTCACGGAGAGATTCGAAGGCCAGTTGCTCTGTGTTTTCACAGGAAGCGACGAGCTTCAGTTTCACGCCTGGACACTCCTGGCTCATTAGGCCAGGAATAGCCACCTCAGTGGGACAGGAGTCAGGTTTATCAGTGGTGAGGTCATACCATCCCTTGCTCCCATGGCTACCATCTCCTGTCTGCAAAGACATGTGATAGAGGTGAAGATAACATGTTTTCTTACCAGATCTACCTCTTCCGGAATGGTGTGGTTCTTGGCGAATTGTATTCATTCCACAGGCATGCATTTTGTGCCCTCAGTATATATGTCAGTACATTAAACCCTGCGGATTGTTCAGAGATGATTTAGGTATGGATCTTGCATCGGAGTTCATAGGAGGTAACTCTAACATGAAGAGAAACTGCTGAGGGGCCGAAGGGTGATAAATATGTGAGCCTTCTGAGAGAAGAGAGATTGTTTCTCGCTGGGGAGATGATTTTGATGTGCTGATTCCCTTGGGTCTCTTTATTTTTTAGGCACTTCACTCATTCATTCACTCATCAAGTACGTGTGGAGAACTTGCTAGGTGCAAAGTCCTGTGCAAGGCATGGGCTCACATTGGTCAGCAAGAGAGACACATGGTCAGCCCTTGCCCTTAAGGAACATACAGTCTAATGAGACAGATGAGGCTGAAACTAATCAATACATGTGTACACATATGCACACGCATACACGTATATACACACAGCATGATTTTTAAAAAAGTGCTGGTATCTAAGAGTTTGAATGAGGGAGCTGACCTCAGAAGGGGGCAATAAGTGATCAGGTCAGGAAGACTTTCTTGGGCTCTAGAGTTTCACCTGAGAATGGAAGATTGAGAATTTGGGTGACAGAGATTATAAAGCTCACTGTTCCTTTTCTGATCCTTTAGGAGAAACTTTTTTTTTTTTTTTTAACCACATGTAGAGTGCTTCTCTGTCAACTAAAAGTCTTCATCTTTCAAATACTGCATAACGTGTGTATACCTCATTCATTCACTTGACTCGTGAACCATTTCTTGAGTGCCTGCGGTGTGCAAACCCTCTGTGTGCTGGGCCTCGGTGTCCCAGGAGCTGTGTGCTGGGCTGCAATTAAATCTGCGAGATGGCGTGTGATGTCTCTTATGGATTGAGCTGTTGGAGCATCGCTGCTGTGGGACAGCTAGTGCATGGTTCATAAGGCCGTTTTCATTTTTCTCCATATAGGACAACAGCTTTGAGCAGTTCATTATTAATTATTGTAATGAAAAGCTACAACAGATCTTCATTGAACTTACTCTTAAAGAGGAGCAAGAAGAGTATATACGGGAGGTAATGTTGAAATATATGTTTTTTAAATGTTCCTTTTATACTCATAATACAAATTGTGGATTTAGAAGCCTATCTAAACATGATCCTAAAATCAGATTTATCTGAGTTTAGCCATGTTGTGTCTCTTAAAAACCCATTTGTTATGACATCTAAGCTACCTGGGATTATCTTTGCTGCTCTGCTGCTAGTGCCTCGAACAATGCCTGGCACATAGTAGGTGCTCAGTAAACATCAGTTGACTGACTTGAGTCCTGGTGGATTCTAGTGCAATGATGTAAAATAATAGTGTGTTTAAAAAAAAAGAGACTGAGATGAATGGACCAACAACCGTGACATCCATACAAGGAAACACTACTCAGTAATTAAAAAGGAACAAACACGGGACACCTGGGTGGCTCAGTCGGTTGAGCGTCCAATCATGATCTTGCGTTCATGGGTTCGAGCCCCGTGTCGGGCTCTGTGCTGACAGCTCAGAGCCTGAAGCCTGCTTCGGATTCTGTGTCTCCCTCTCTCTCTGCCCCTCCCCCACTCGTGCTCTGTGTCTCTCTCAAAAATAAATAAACATTAAAACATTTTTTTAAAAAAGGAAGAAACGCCATTTGAAACACCAGGCATGGACCTAGAGGGTATTATGCTGAGTGAAATAAGGGAGACTGAGAAACACAGACACCGTATGATTTCCCGCCTGTGGAATCTAAAAAACAAAACAAATGAATAAACAAAAAGCAGACCGATAAACACAGAGAGCAAACTGATGCTTGCCAGAGGGAAGGCGGTGGGGGATGAGCAAAGTGGGTGAAAGGGAGTGGGAGATACAGGTTTCCAGTTATGGAATGGATAAGTCACAGAAATAAAAGGCCCAGCGTGGGGAATATAGTCCATGGTCTTGAAGTAGTGTTGCATGGTGACAGATGGCAGCCACACTTATGTTGGGCATAGACTAAGGTATAGACAAGTTGGGGCGCTAGGTTGTACACCTGAAACTAATATAACAGAATGTCACCTCTACTGAAAAAAAAATTTTTAAACCAACAAATACTTGATCATGTGCTCATCTGAAGAATTTTAATCATGGCTTTTCCAGAGTCAAACATATTAAACATGAAAGGAAAAAAATAATAAAATAAAAATGGCGGTCTGTTGTCCAAAAAAAAAAAAAGGAAAGAAAAAGGAACAATTGATAAACACCATAAAATGAAGGATTCTCAAATGCACTAATGCCAAATGAAGGAAGCCAGACTCAAAAGTCTGCATACTGTATGATTCCGTGATATGTTGTTCCAGAAAAGGCAAAGTGACAGGGACAGAAGAGTTGGTCATTGCCAGAGGACGGGAGTCGTGAGAGTGTGACTACCAAGGGGAAAAACAAGGGAATTTTGGTGGTGGTTACATGACACCATGCATTTGCCAAAACTTATGAGAACTATATACCCAAAAAGTCAGTATCACTCTGTATAAATTTGAAAATATTTTGAGGCTTTGTTCAATCTTGAAAAGCACTGATTTCCTAAAATTTTATAATAAAAACTGGTAATATTTATTGAGCTCTTACTGTATTGCCAGGTGTTGTACAAGTGCTGTGTATGGATTATCTCAATGTAATTTGAAAGTAATCAGAATTAGTGTTTACAAAGTCCTTGTATCCTTTTTTTTTTTTTTAATTTTTTTTTTTCAACGTTTATTTATTTTTGGGACAGAGAGAGACAAACATGAGCAGGGGGAGAGGGGAGCAGAGAGAGAGGAGAGGGGGAGACACAAGTCATGAGCTCCAGGCTCTGAACCATCCATGAGAGCCAGCAGCCAGGGGCTGAACTCCCAGACAGCAGATGGAAGTGACCCTGGCTGAAGTCCCGGACGGCAACAGAACTCGCCACTGAAGCCCCAAAGTTATCCTTGTATCCTTAATTGGGCTCCTTACTTGGTTTTCATCACTCATTTTATTTTTTTTCAACGTTTATTTATTTTTTGGGACAGAGAGAGACAGAGCATGAACGGGGGAGGGGCAGAGAGAGAAGCCTAAGAATGGGAGAAACAGGCTCCAGGCTCTGAGCCATCAGCCCAAACCCAGCTGTGAGACTCGGCTTCCTTGGACATGATGGATATTAAGTGAACCTGGCTGAAGTCGGACGCTTAACCGACTGCGCCACCCAGGTGCCCCAATCCTTTCATTTTTTAAATAGTTAATGTTTTTGGAAGTATAAAATTATTTCAGACAAAAGGAGAAATCATTATATTCTGCATATGTTGTATTATATTTTTGTTTCCTTTTCATTTATTTGCTTTAATATTTGAATAATGATACTACCTATTTTTCTTCATTTTCGATAGCATAGTTGTAAATCATTAAAGACACTGAATCCTTTTTTTTTTGCCTCAATATAGATTTTTCTAATGTGATTGTTATCCCCAGTGACTTAGTAAAATAACCCATCTACTTGAAAGCTACATCATAAATATTTCATCTTTCTTTCAGAATAATCATCATGCTTTAGAAACGTTTTATACTTTTCTGGCACTTTTTTTTAACGTAAACTTCCTAAAAGCCAGATTCATTCCCTTGCTGTCTTCTCACCATAAAGAGATTGCCCCAACTTTGATGTGTAACTTAAAAGTTTGTACAGATTGTCTGAGACACGTCTAAGAATATATAGGAAGATCCCTAGCTTGCTGTATGAATTAAATTTCTTCCCCTTAGAAGAAAAATAAATGTTTACACTTATGGGCAGAGTATAAACAGATCCAGAACGATTACATTTAGCCTCACAGATTTGGCTTTGTAGCTAGCATTAGAACCAGTGGGTTGGTTTTTGTGTCTTTCCTTATGTTGAAAATATTTTGTCTTAGCACTGGGATATTTTTACATTTGAAATAGTCAACTGCCCTACAACATGGGATTGACTCTAAAATTAAGTTTTTCCTTGTGATTACAAATCAAGAACAGAAAAATGTAGGCCCTAGATTCCTGGGATCAAGTTCTGACTTATTTCCTTATAAACATTGTAAATATACACAGAGTAATATTGACCCAAGGGCCTGTTGAGTCCGTGTTTGGCACAGAGCCAGGGGAGTGCATGGGAAATTGTCACAGATGGCAGAGTGGAATGAGGGGCAGTCTCAGAACAGGTCAAGGGTGTTCCTTCAGTCACATTGTGTCAATGGCGGACTGCTACAATTAGGGAAGTTTTGGGAAACGGAAGATATTTGCTGCATTATTGTGTAAAGGAAATATTCAGAGAGGAAGTGAAATATATTAAGATGGCAGAGTCTGTTTTATAGATGGTAGTGTTGTAGTATCATCATCGTATGGAATCTGATTTTGTTCTGTTTTCTTTCTCAGGGCATAGAATGGACACACATTGACTACTTCAATAATGCTATCATTTGTGACCTGATAGAAAATGTGAGTATTAGGTATAACTTTCTAAAAAATTCTCAGTAATAATTTACTGCTTACAAAAGACCTCACTGCCTTGGTGTCTTCATGATTTTGACACTTCTGAGAGCTGTGGAGTTCTAGAGACTTTATTGTAGCCATGAGGAATCATACACAGTTCTTGAACACACATATAGACAGCTGGACATTTTGATCCTTGGCTAGGATTTCCTGTGCTCATCTTGTGGCCGCATCACAGAGCCCTTTAGGGCATTAATATGCCTTAGATGCATCATTCTTTTCTGTATACTGGTAACCCAGATCTGGTCCACGGCTCCTGGGAATATGAGCACTGGTCAGAGGAGGCTCTGATAAAAAGGTTTTCGCCAAATCAAATATCCATTTCATTTCTAAAACTCTAGTAACTTCTTCATATCCCGTTCAATGGTTATTACCAAAAAGATAATTATTGGTGAGGATGTGAAGTAAAAGGAACCTCTGTGCACTCCTGATGGGAATGTAAGTTAGTGCAGCCATAACAGAAGATAGTATGAAGGTTCGTCAAAAAATTAAAAATAGAACTACCAGATGATGGTAGCAATTCCACTTTGGGAATATATCCAAGGGAAACGGAATCAGGATCTTGGAGAGAGATATTTACTCCCATGTTAATTACGGGGTTGTTCACAATAGCCAAGATATGGAAACAGCCTAAGTGTCCGTCTATAGATGAATGGATAAAGAAGATGTGTGTATATTCAATGGCATGTTATTCAGCCACGAGAAAGAAGGAAATCCTGTCATTTGTGACAACGCAGATGGACCTTGAGGGCATTACACTAAGTGAAATAAGTTAGTCGGAGAAAGACAAACGCATGACATCATTTATATGTAGAATCTAAAAAAGCCAAAGAAACAGAAGAGAATGGCAGTTGCAAGGGGCTGGGAGTAGGGGAAATGGGGAGATGTCAGTCAAAGGGTACAGACTTTCTAGTTGCAAGATGAATAAGTTCTAGAGATGTAATGTGTAGCATGGTGATTACAGTTAACAGTGCTATATTATGTATTTGAAAATAGTTAAGAGGGTAATTTTTAAATGTTCTCATCACGAAAAAGAAATGGTAATTATGTGATGTGATAGAGCTGTTAACTAAGGTTATGGTGGTAATCATTTTGCAATATTGAAAGGGTACCAAATTATCGCCTCGTATACCTCAAACTTACACAGTGTTATATGTCAATTATATCTCAGTACAGCTGGGAAAAAATTTTAAGTAAATAAAGAACAGGGGCGCCTGGGTGGCTCAGTCAGTTGAGCGTCCGAGTTCGCCTCAGGTCATGATCTCACAGTCTGTGAGTTCAAGCCCCACGTTGGGCTCTGTGCTGACAGCTCAGAGCCTGGAGCCTGCTTTGGGTTCTGTGTCTCCCTCTCTCTCTGCCCCTCCCCCACTCATGCTCGCTCTCTCTCTCTCTCTCTCTCTCTATCTCTCTCTGTCAAAAATAAATAAACATTTAAAAAAAATTTAAGTAAATAAAGAACAACAAAAAAACATGCCCTTCAAGTTAAGATAAAGGAAGATGAAGGGACAGTCATGGGAGCTGAGTTAAGTAGGACCCCAGGAGTGGCTCAAGTATTGACCTAGCCTTGGTTCAGAGAACCTATGCGGGGGATGTCTTGTGTGTGACTTTGCAGGTGGCCAAGAGCCATAGGATTTTTCAGGTGACCACATTTGTCTGTATATATGTGAAAAGACTTTTGAAGTCTAAAAAATTACTAGATATGTCTTAGATTCCAAAAGGTTACTAAATATTTTATTTTTATATCATCGTCTGTAGTTTATTATAAATGAATTGACTGCAGGAAGATTGATTTGTATGTGAAACCTGGAAAAACTTATTTTATGCTTAGGATTACTCTCACTCCTGGCTTTGATAACAAAGTTATTTGAAACAATGCATAAACTTTATTGTCCTACAGTGGTTTTAGTTGTCAGTGGTAGGTGAGTGCTGTGTTTTAGGAATAGAATCACAGGCTCTACATGTCCCAACAAGTGCCTTTCACAAAACCTTTTGGAAATTATATAATTAGCCAGTTATCTCTTCTCTCAGTTTTCAAGATATTCCTGAAAGCTGCACCTTTAATTAAATTGAATATGCTGAAGCGTTACTGTTTTTCTATTAATAAGTAAACTTCGTTTTGAAAAATCTGAACAGTGTTGGAGTGTGAACACTAATGTTCCATGTAAGCAGTTCAGAACTCTAATATCTGGGAAATCAGTAGACTGACTGGAAAGTTTTCCTGGTAAATTTTGTGGAACCCAAATTGTGGGAACTTGACTTCCAGAAGTCATGACTAGCACATTTTCCTTCATAAATAATAACCTTGAACTTAATTATTTCCCTTCAAGAAGGAAAAAAAGAGAAAACAGTGTTCATACACTTAGTTTAATTAGATTATCTCAGCCGTAAGCACCCTTGCACATATGTTTGAAGAAACTCATGTTCACATAGGAGCCTGGGCACATAAAGGAAGTGTTTCCTTCCAGCATTACCTAAAAGTAATGTTTACTCTGGGGTTGTTATGAATATACTTGATTCCTGAGAGTCCACACTTCCCCTGGGTTTTGTGTGGAATCAACAGATCCTGGTCAGAGGATGTCCCGGCCTTGTGAGGAGAAGGAGAGAGGAACCCGGGACTCTTGCCTGGTGGATGTGGGTGGGGCTGATGGTCAGTAGAGTGGATTATTCTCTTGGGAATGGAGACATATGAGCCTGTAGGGGCAATCCAAGGAACAGCGGCCTTTATTTAGCAAAGTAGAAGATTCCTGATTTTTTACTCCTTTTAACTGGGCTGGCTGCTCTTGGGATAAATACAATCATAGGGTCTGAATACATAACAAATTCTCACTCATGTTCAACACCCGTTTTGAAATTTTATGTGGAATACGAATTTTATTCTAAACCAATACTCTTGAAATACAGCTTGATTGCATTGATCCCAAATCACACCTTTTTTTTTTTTTTTACTACAAAATAAACCGTATTTTGAACACATGAACAATTTGAAAACATCTGAAACCAATTTCCTTCTCAAGCTATGAATCAAATAATGGCCTTAGAAAAGACTGTGCTTTGTGATTTATGACCACATGTTGTAGAGACAGCATTGTCACATTAGTTTCTGACGTTTAGATTTGTGTTTGAATGTGTTTTGAATATGAGGTCTGACTTGCCTTTTTTGAACAATGTGAGTTGCAGTCATCAGCCCGCTGAGGTGGCTGAGGTGACTCCGTAGGTCCTGTTCTGAGGGCGGAAGGGAATGGGGGAGGGCAACTGATACAGACCCCTCCTCCCCAACATCACACACACACCTGGGACACTGTGGAAGGGGACCGACTTCTGTGGCTTTTTGTTACTTGTTTTGATTGTCTGCTTTTCGTTGTAACTGAACGGAATTTTCTCGTGACTAAGTTTTTTAATTGTGTTTGACGGTGTAATTAGGAATCATTATGAAAACAATACAGTGAGGAAGGAAGGAAACCTTTTTATTTCCTTTCTCGCAGAACACAAACGGAATCCTGGCCATGCTGGATGAGGAGTGCCTGAGGCCTGGCACGGTCACCGACGAGACCTTCTTGGAGAAGCTCAACCAAGTGTGTGCCACCCACCAGCACTTCGAGAGCCGGATGAGCAAGAGCTCTCGGTTTCTCAATGACACGTCCCTGCCTCATAGCTGTTTCAGAATTCAGCACTATGCCGGCAAGGTATGGGGGAGCCGCAAGGTATGGGGGAGCCGTGAGCGCTCAGCGGGCCTGCGGCTGTTCCCCCGAGGAGGCCGTGCCTCAGAGGTAGCGTTCTGACCAGTGCCAACTCGTGAGGAGAAGCTGAGTTGCTAGAAGAGTAGAATCAGTAAATGTTCAGTAGAAGTAGAATCTGGGTCATGTTGAGCAAAATCTTACTAATACTCAGAGCTGAGAGGAAAGCCAGTGGACTTCATGAGAGAGTTGGAATGTATTTTAAAAGTCGATTTTGTTGTTTCTCAGCTCTGAGATATCCTATAAAAATAGACCTGTCAACATTAATAAAAGGAGACGTGGTAGTAAAAATTAGGAGACACTAAAGACTTACGATAAGGTTTTACAAGCACACAAATATTATGAGTTCTTAGATTGAGATTTTGAAACAACAGTGGGGAAATACTGACTTTTTAAAAAAAGCATTATTCATTTGCTTTTGTGAGGGAATTTTATACCATCTAAGATACATAAAAATGTTAAAAACAAATTTGACCGTAGCTTAATTTTCAGAGTCCTGGAAAAGTATTGATTGACATTAATACCTCCTTTCTTCTAAATAAGATTACAAACTTCAAAGAGGAAATTCTCAATTATGTAGCTAGTAAAAATTAAGTATATAGTATCTGAATTACTGTTAATTTCAAAAAGTTGGAACTTGGTACTTATTCCCCCCCCCCCAGCTTATGTTACTGAAAGATACTTTTCTGTTCAATTTCTCTGCTCACCTAGGATGTCTGAAAATATCAGTGCTATCTCTATTTTCTCCTATCTAGTTAAGACTAGAATTGGCATATGTGAACTTAAAAAAAAAAAAAAAAAGTAAAACCTCAAAAATGTGCTCAAACACCAAAAAAGCCTAAAATCCTTTGAAAATGTTATGAGAGCATTTTTGGAGTTTATTCTTGCAAATCCTGAAGGGTAATAGAATTTATTTTGAACTCTTCTGTGATTTAGACAGATGGAATTTAAACTTGGAGGCTAATTCGGTATTAGGAGTGTGACTAATGTGTCAGGGGTTTTTTGATGGAGAAAGAGGAGGCGGCAATAGAGATAGTCCTGGAATATTTTTAACGGTTATGTGACGTTCTGGAGTGCAGTTTATCAACTGCGGAGTCTCTTGTGCTTCTCGTAGGTGCTGTACCAGGTGGAAGGATTTGTTGACAAAAACAATGACCTTCTGTATCGAGACCTGTCCCAAGCCATGTGGAAGGCCAGCCACACCCTCATCAAGTCTTTGTTCCCGGAAGGGAACCCAGCCAAGATCAACCTGAAAAGGCCTCCTACAGCAGGCTCTCAGTTCAAGGCATCCGTGGCCACGCTGATGAAAAACCTGCAGACCAAGAATCCAAACTACATTAGGTATTTTTGGCACATAAAATTCTCTGACAAGTTCATCACGAAGGCACTTTCAAGGAAGATCATTTTCCTGTTTGCCTTAATCTAAATTAGCCCCAGCAGAGGATAACTGAAACTCTTACACATTGAATAATGTGGTATCTTGGGTTTACTTAAAAAATACTCCAGTGCCCTTTACCTGCCTTCAAGTAAGGAATTTCAGACTGGGGGAAAAAAGCGTGGTGCGGGATGGGAATAGATATTTAATGAAATCGCATTGTTGGCTCCTAGGGTTCTTAACTTTCTGTATCTCTTTTTTGTTTAATGACAAATTCAGAAATGTATACTTTTTTTCTGGTAAGGGTTTTGCATAATACTCTTTATTGGATTCGTTTTGGATTCTTGTTACATTAACTTAGAATGCAGCATTAAAGCAAGCAGGGCTTTAGTTAGAACTTTGGTGTTAGAAAATATGTGCCTCTTTCTTTCCTAGGAGACTTGTAGATTTGAAGAAAGGAATGACTCCCCAGACAATCTTACATTTTTCAAAGCAACAGAAAGAATTCCTTAAGAAGCATCTGGTCTCTTTTTTCTTTTTCTGGGCATCTTAGATCTCAAGATTCAGTAAAGACCAATTAGGATTAGAGTTTTACATGTGTGTATTTGGTGAACTAGATAATAGGAGATGTGTGTCTAACAGGTCAGATTTCATATAATGCATACACACCCACACATACCTTCCATAATTGCCTTTGAAAATACAGTTGCGAGGAAACTAGCGTGAAGAACATTTTTGTGTCTGGCTTGTTTACCAAATATTGATATCAGTAACAAATGTAAAGAGTCAGAATCCCCTGGTTTGATTGCAATCAGTCAGGTTGGAGCATATATTGGGTAGAGATCCTAGTTTCAAAAAAGAAAGAAAAAAAAGGAAATTTTCTGTGGTCAGTTGCTTTTGTTATTCTCAATTAAGTGGACTTTAAAAAAAATCATTACTTAATAATAATTTACATGACATGGTATGCACAGATCCTAGGTGAACAGCTCAGTTATTTTTTTCACCAGTGTATATATACACTTTGGCAGTCACCACTCTGGTCCAGATATGGAACACTCTGTTACCCCAGAATTGTTCCTTCATTCCCCTTCCCTTTTAGTGGTTTTAATGTATTTCTAAGAAGTCTTAATGAACTACAAGTTTGTGAATATTATCTTATTTTTTCCTAGAGTCTTTGTAGTTTCAAATTTCATATTAAGGTCCATATTTTTCCATATAGATAACCTGTTGCTCTGGCATCATATATTGAAAAGAAAAAAAACCTCTTATTTTTTATTCAGTTATCTTGATGTCTTTATTGAAATTCAGTTGAAAGCATATGTAAGAGTCTAAGTCTAAACACACTAGTCTGTTCCACTGATCTGGTTGTCTATTTTTTTTTTTTAATGTTTATTTACTTTTGAGAGGAAGACACAGAATCTGAAGCAGGCTCCAGGCTCTGGGCTGTCAGCACAGAGCCGGACATGGGCTTGAACCCACGAACCATGAGATCATGACCTGAGCTGAAGTCGGATGTTTAACAGACTGAGCCACTTAGGCACCCCCTGGTTGTCTATTTTTAAGCCAAAGAGTGGACATTATTTTTATAAATGTTAAAGGAGAAGCATAAAAACACTGAGGTCATAAGATTTAATTGTTCACCTATTACATGTGTGTGTAGAATTTATTTAACAGTTGTAGGTAGGCAAATGTAGCCATAAATGTTTAGCAGCAGTGTTAATGAAGATACAGAGGTTGCTTCCATAAGATCCAAACATAACAATGGCTTAAACAAGATTGTCATTTATTTCTTATGTAACTTCTGAGTATAAGGACTCCAGGGCTAATACGACATCTTTGTTTTGTGGCTCTGTGATTCTCAGGGTGTTTCTCTCATCCATATTGTCAAAGATGGCTCTCCACCATGGCTACATTCCCAACGAGCAGTTAGCAGAAGAACAAAGGGAATGCAAGCCCCTTCCTTTTAAAGACACTTTCGGAAGTGCCATATATTAATTCTGCTATAATCCTAGTGGCCACAGTTTTAATCACATGGCCACACCTGCTTGCAAAGGAGGCTGGGAAATGTTGTCTTTCTTTGAGCAGCAAAATGCCCTGTTAAAAAGGAGGGAGAGGGGCACCTGGGTGGCTCAGTCCGTTAGGCATCTGACCTCAGCTCGGGTCATGATCTCACAGTTCGTGGGTTTGAGCCCCCATCAGGCTCTGTGCTGACAGCTAAGAGCCTTGAACCCACTTCGGATTCTGTGTCTCCCTCTCTCTCTGCCCCTCCCCTGCTCACACTCTGTTTCTCTCTCTCTCTTTCTCAAAAATAAATAAACATTAAAAAAATTTTTTTTGGAAAGGAGGGAGATATGGGGTTATAGGGAGACAACAGTGTTTTTAATAATGTCACTGAAGTATCTAATACACATACAATACTACAGTAAAGTGTATGACTCTTCATTGTACAGCTTGTTTAAGTTTTAGCCCCACCTGGACCAAGATACAAAACATTTCCATCATCCCATAAGATTCCTTTATGCCCCTTCCCTGTTGATCTGTACCCCTAATTCTCCCCAGAGGTAACAGCAAACTGGTTTCTAACCATAGATTTATTTTTCTCGAACTTCATATAAAAAGTGTACTCTTTTATGTCAAACTTATTTCAGTCAACAAAATGTCAGTGATACTCATCCATTTTATTGTATGGGTTGGCATTTTATTCTTTTTTAACTCACATGTATGTCACATATTTTCTGTAAAATGATTTGAAATAATTTCAAAAGCAATGACTAGGTTACCCAAGAATAATAAATAATTATCCCAAGCAGTAAATAACTATATACTATATTTTATAAAACACAGACAGATATATCCGTAAGAGACAGAGTTTAAAACCTAAAATCTTTGTAATCTTTTAGGTGCATCAAACCAAATGATAAAAAAGCGGCACACATCTTCAACGAGGCTCTTGTGTGTCATCAGATCAGGTACCTGGGACTTTTGGAGAATGTCCGAGTCAGGAGGGCAGGCTATGCCTTCAGGCAGGCCTATGAACCTTGCCTAGAAAGATACAAAATGCTTTGTAAACAAACATGGCCTCATTGGAAAGGACCAGCAAGGTAAGAAATTCATTGGTTACATTTAACAATGAAGTTATAAAGGATACAAATAACAACCTCTGTATTGGACCATCTTCCATTAGGATACCATTTTGTATTAATTATTGATTGATTATAGAGGTCTCGATTGTAAGGTTTGGATGGGGCTTATCCAATCCACGAATTTTAAAAATACGCTGTGGCAAGTTAGTAGGAAGGGATCTGTAATTGCTAAGTATATTTGTGTAGAATCATAAAAGGGTGGAGTTAGAGGTATCTTGGATCAGTGCTCTCACCCTTTTGGTTTTTTTCTGTAGGGAATTAACCCCAGAGACAGACAGTGGGTGGGGGTGAGGGTCTTTCTCTTTGCACGAGGTCCGCACCCATGGAAAAATAGATATAGGAGCAGATTTGACTCAGAGAGTCAGTGTTATTGCTGACAAAGCGGGATTGAAGAATATGGCAGAATCTGGGCCATGCAGCTTTCAGTTTATCTTCCCCGAATTGTACTTAGCCCTCCAGTCCCAGACAGAGCGCTGGACCACTACAGGCCCATCCCATGGAGCAGCCCCTGTGAGCTCTCCACATGCAGAGAGAATGTGTGTGCTGGTTTTGGGGGGGGGGGGGTGCTGCTGCAGAAGAGAAAGTGGGCTTTCCTGTCTGGTGGTCTTTCTTCTGCTCTCACCAGTCAGAGGAGTTGCCCCTTCTCTGTAGGTTGTAGAAGCTCTCCCAACTGCCGCAGGAAGGCCAACGTGCCTCTTTTACGGGCCTGTGCAGACTAGGGATTTGATTTCACTGTACTGGTATTGCGTCCACATTCTCACTGGACTGGCCTTTAATAGGGATATCAATAGTATTAGACACTCACCCTTTACTACGAGGAGATGAACTCCAGACATATGATGGGGTCTCTGCTACAAAATTCAATACCCAGATGATATAGAATGTGGGTACTGTTTGTTCCCACTGCTAATTTCCAGGTCAGAACATGTGTTCACTCCCTGCCTGGCACCTAGGCCATAGGTTGATGGGATAAAGTTTAGTTAGAAATTGCTGTTGAAACCAGGGTCCAGGATGGAGAAGTCAGAGCCAAGTTCAGGCAGGCCTCGCTCCTACCACATAAGGCCTATGCTTCATGACACCCCATTGGTCTGGCACTTAGCGCTCTCTTCTTGGGTCCTGCCCACACTGTGAGGCACGGAGGCGCAATATTAAAAATATTTTGGAGAATTAACCATGCGCATTCAAAATAGGTGTGAATTTCTTACACACCCTCCGGGTTCTGGCTGGTGCTTTGTGATGGGTATATCTGATTCAAAGATTACCTCTGCTAATGAAATCAAGATACGGTTTTAATACCCTGTTGTCTTCGACTGCATAGTTCTGAACCCAAATTTACTTTTTTAGTGTTACCTGGATTTGGTTTAATTCGTGGAATTCAGTCTGAAGATTCTTTGATAGAAGGCTGCTTACTAAAAGACCAATTATACTTGGAAAGAAAGCTATTATTTTATACCACTGAGAACCTGATACTGTGATTTCAGAGAAGATAACCTCTTTTTGTAACTCAGAAAACTATTTTTATTTATTTTTATAGGGCTGGCGTGGAGGTTCTCTTTAATGAGTTAGAGATTCCTGTAGAAGAGTACTCCTTTGGTAGATCAAAGATATTCATCCGGAACCCAAGAACAGTACGTAACCCAAACCTTTACAGACTGAACTTATGTTATAATCATATAGGCAAGTTCTTAGAGGATATTTAACTTCATAACATTACCCAAGATGCTGCCGATAGTGCCTCATTCAGTTTTTTCTGCAAATGTCCGAGAGGATGGGCGAGTAGGGGGCATTAAAAGAACACGTGTATTTGTTTATGAAACATCAAAATCTTAGATTGTACAACACTTCATAAATCATAAAGGAACTGTTGTTACAACAATAAAACCTTCTTACCTCATAGGAATTGAAGGTAAATTCTTACCTCATAGGAATTGGAGGTAACTGTTGTTACAACAATAAAACCTTCTTACCTCATAGGAATTGGAGGTAAATTCAGTCTGTATTTATAATACCTGAATTATGCAATAATTTTAGGAAAGACAGCCCTATTATTTTGAGGTACATGAAAGCACTCATATTTAAAAAAATTTTAAGCTGAAAATTTTAAGCTTAAAATTCTACTTAGGAACATCCAAGGGAGCATTTTTTTATAAATGAATTAGCATGAAGTATAACAAATACAACAGTGTTTTTGGTAATTTGGAAATTTGGAGAATCTGGAAGAATGTTTGAATTGTTAAACAGAGACCTTATCAGCACTTCCCTGCCGTAACAGTTGCATTCTCCTGGCTAGAGTAAAGGTAAATCTAAGTGCCCAGTTCGGCCCTTCTCTGATTTGTCATAAATTCTATATCACCTAAGATAAATAGTGATCTTGTATGAATTCATGAAAAGAGTTTTCTCATGGGTTATTATCCATATCATCCATAATCAAGACAGTTATTCATTTTTTTCCTCAAATGGGGTTGACTTTAACATCATGACATTTTTCTGCCTGGGGATGTCTTTCATGTATGTCATAAGGTTTTGGTAGAGTTTTGATAAATCCAGCTATCTTTTCTTATTAGTTATTCAAGCTAGAAGACCTGAGGAAGCAGCGTCTTGAGGACTTGGCCACTCTCATTCAGAAGATTTATCGGGGGTGGAAATGTCGTACCCACTTCCTACTAATGAGAAAAAGCCAAATTGTGATAGCTGCCTGGTACAGGAGATACGCGGTAAGAGCCTCCACCCTTTTACTCTGTAAGAATGATGCTCATTGGCTAGTATTTGTTATGTACTTTGCGTGTAAGTTTTACGTATTCAGTTCTCCCAGCAACCTCATAAATTGAGTGCTTTTGTGGTACCTTTGTTAAAGGTGGGAAAACTAAGGCATGAGCCGTTGAGTAACTTGCCCGTGGTCACGCAGCTGCTAAGTGGCAAAGATGAGGTTTGAATCCAGGACTCTTTCATAGCTCAAGTTGAGTATATCACACTGCCTTCCAGTGATATAGGTCCACATAGTGGGAAATCTAAATCTTGAATTTGCTCATCGGATTAGAAGAGACGGTGTCATTTAACCCTTTTCATGGGGTAGGCTCAGTTTTCCAAAATAATTGGCTGTTTTCCATGTATTGTAGCAGCACTGAAAGTGGCTTAATTCCAGAAAACTGATGCCACATTTTAGTAGAATTCTGGATTTGGTGAAAGGATTGGATTTCCTTTAGTCCTCAGATTGCTGGCCCTATTATCTATGGGAAAAGACTTAAAAATAAAGTATGTTTAGTTAATTGACATGGAATTTCTTTTGGGAATTTTGTTTCTCACTTGATTATAGATATTTCATTGGAGGCATAACAAGTTTGAAGGAAATCTGAAGGTTTGCCTTTAGGTTGGCTTAAACTTAGGCTGTGTTCTCACAAGTGAATTTTGTGATAAGAACACTACTTCTGAGTGCTTTTTCATTCTGTGCTTTTTCTCTAAAGAATCGGAAGATGAATTGAATTTGCAATCACATCTCCTTTAGGATACTCTCTTTTTCTGCTCTGGAAAAGTTTTGCTATGAAGCAGTGTATAATCAGGACACAGTTTTGCTGACCTATTCCCATGTAATACATTTTAGTGTAATATGTCCACGTTTGAGAAATTAATGAGATATTTAAATGATGAAGCCAAAGGAAAAAAAAACTGCTTCAGCTTTAAGAGAGTATCCTTAAAATGGTTTGAAAGGGTACAGCCAATGGTACTACAGCTGTTCACGTATGAACCTATCCAGCCACGATGAGAGATTCATTCATATGTATTCTGCAGAGGCACAGAGGACTGTTGTCACTAACCTGTCTGTGGTGGATTCTCTTCTGTGTACACAGTAATGGCACTTGGCTCTTCTGCAGATTCATAATGCTCTGTTTTATATTTGCCTGAGAAAGGAAGGACCAACACATAGCCAGTGGTCCGGGAACCCTTTTCGTCATTTTTTGTTTGCAGATCAGTAAGAAAATCCAAGTTGGCAAGTGTAGTGAATTCATCTATCTTGAATTCAACAAATACTTTTGGAATACCTACTCTGCCAGGCTCTGGGGATAGCAACATGAACAAAACTGATGCCTGACCTCATAGAGTTCATACCTAGTGAGGGGCAATATGCATGTAAGCAAGTAAATAATCAGAACAATTATAGACTGTAGTCAGCTGGGAAGGAAACAGATTACTGAGATAAAGAATAGTGAGGAGATAGGATATAAATTTGGATAGTATGGTCAAGGAATACCCTCTGGAAGGGGGCATTTCATTAGAGGGATGAGAAGAAACAAAGCAATGAACGAAGAGAGCAGGTGCTATTTTACCTTCCCTCCCTATATAGAACTTTTATATCTCCAAGTGAAAAAAGGAGCCACCATATAATGTATCATTAGCTCATGATGGTGAGTTATAACTAGTATTAATTGGGAGAATAGAAACAAATAATAAGCCCAACTTTTAGAGAAGGTATTAATTTCGCTCTAGTGTTAGTTACATCTGTTTTAGAATTTGAACTAAATATCTCAACCAGTTAACTACATGTTATCCAAGCTAGTGATTAAACTCAACCTTTTTTCTCAACCAAATAACTCAAAGATTTTCTGAATGTCCATTTCCAATTGCTGATTATTTTAAAATCCATATTCTGTTATATTTTATAGCTCTATGAGACGAATTTTTTTAAGGTTTATTTTTGAGAGAGAGCACGAGCGAGCATGAGTGGGGGAAGGACGGGGAGATAGGGGGTAGAAGATCCAAAGCAGGCTCTGTGCTGACAGCCACAAGCCCGACGTGAGCCTTGATCTCACAAACCATGAGACCATGACCTGAACCAAAGCTGGTCGCTCAGCTGACTGAGCCACCCAGGTGAGATGAATTTTAAAGTAAGATCGAGTTGTTTTCAAGCCATTTAGGAACTTCAGAAGAAAACATCAAGGTATCAGATGCATGTCAGAAGTGATGGTCAGATATCATAGATATAGTTTGTTCTATAGCCATGGAATATTGCTCTGTGAGGAATCTTGCCGAGTTTCTGGCTCCTCATTTGACAGATGAGGAAACCGAAGTCCAGAGGAGGTAGTGATTTGTCCAAAATCCTAGGGTTCTCTTTGTCTTTCTGTCTGGCATTCTCTTTTTGTTCTGCTGCTCATGTGTTGATAACATCACTCTGTTTCCTCTGAGCTTCCCAAATCTAGCCTAGAGGGCTGGAAGGCATGTGTCCCACCTCAGAAAAGGGAGCTGAGCAATCCAGCATTTCCAAAGTGAGAGAGGCACAGCATGACTTCATGGCTTGGTTAGAAAAGCTGTGAAATTTCATCACAGATGCTGACATGCCGGTGAATATTCCACATTAAATACAATACGAGCTCACTTTTCTAGGGATGGTATTCCAGTGGCCTCCACTCTTCCGAGTAGAAGTAAAAAGGGCCTTTGGGCATTGATCTTGCCGTGCCCACATGCATGGCCTGCCGCACTGGGTTTTCTTTAACCTTCCCTGCCTGGAAGTAACTTTGGCTGTATCTCAACCAACTTGGTGCTCACTTGACCCTCCCAGGATGTGGTTTCTATTTTACATTGCTGATTGGTACCCAGTGCGAGTCCTTGAGTGCAGGAATGGAGTTGGAGTCACTTGTATAGCCTCATAGTTCAATTAAAGTGATACTCATTTAATTATATTTAGCACCCTTGAAACATACTCTGGATTAACTGTAATAATTTTGGATTGTTTGATATTTTGGTTTCTTTACATATTGGTTCCCAGGAGGAATATGGGAGATGAAGGGTTAATTGCACTAAGTGAGCAAGTACTCTGTCTCAGTCCTTGCAGTATAGGTATTACAGATGTGTAAACAGAACTGGTAACAATCTCCCCCTTTTGTCCCACAGCAACAAAAGAGGTATCAACAGATAAAGAGTTCTGCCTTGGTAATTCAGTCTTATATCCGGGGTTGGAAGGTGAGTTTAAAAGAAGTGAGCCTTATTTATTGGGGGTTTTTAAGTTCTTCACAAAGGAGGATGATGTCTTTAAGGTCACCCTGCAGGGGGGAGCTCCTCATCTCCTGCCTACCCTGTAAACAGTCAGATGGAAAGAATAAATATTATGGGCTACACTGGGGCCCTTGTGACCATGTCTTGGCCGCATCCTTCTAACTGGCTCTCTTCTCAAGAGCTTTGTTCTCGAAGCAGGAAGTCTTGAAATAATACCGTACATGATTTCAATATCCTCTTGCCCCCCATTTGCAAGGGAAGTGGTAGTCCAGAAGGCTGTCTGTCAACACTGTTGCCTCCGCACCTGTGCGTCCTGCCCGGCCCAACTCCTTCCATAACTTCCTGGTGACCATCTTGTGGGCTGCCCTGTCATGATCAAAACATCCTGAGCTCTGGCCATTCTAGTCGGGATCACAGTGTACCCATCACCTAGTTCCAGATCCTGGCTGCACGGCTTGGTTCAGGGGTCAGCAGTCCACAGCCTATGCCTGTTTTTGTACAACCCCAGAAGGAAGAATGGCTTTTATGTTCTTAAAGCATTGTTTAAAATAACAGAGAGAACTTTTCATGACATGTAAAAATTATATGGAATACAACTTTCATATGAATATATATACAAATATAAAATGTATATAAATATACAAATATAAGTACAAAGCTCATATAAATAAAGTTTTATTGGTACAGACCCTTGCTTATTTATTTACATCTTGTGTGTAAATACATCTTGTGCTTTAGCGCTCTGACAGCAGAGTTGAGTAACTGTGATAGAGACCTATAAACGGGAAAGCCAAAAATACCATCTGGCCTTCTGCAGAAAGTTTACTGTCCCTGCTCTAAGTCAAAGATCCTTCAGAGCCTATTCTGACCACTTTCCTACTGGGAGATTTCTGTGGAGTGGGCTAATGCAGAGGAGCTACTTCAAGACAATTCCCAGGCCCAGAACCCGTTCAGAGGGTACAACATTGGGCCGGGAGTCCAGTAGCATCAATCGACCTTTGTCTAGGCCATGGGTCAATTTGGCGGCTGTGCGATAGTAAATGCCAGAATATAAATGCAAGCACATAGAGTAAGTGAAATCACTGCCTGCAAGTCCTTCTTTGACCTTATTACTGGATCATGGGTCCGTGTCTCCAGTCTAGAGCCTTCAGACATTCCGAGCCCACCTCCCAACCAACATGTCCTCCGGGCCCCCATAAAATCAGTTTGTGGTAACTGCCTGGGAGAAGCCACTGGTTTTGGACTAATGAGATTTTCTTTAGCAAGTTTTTAAGGATCTCTTTTGCATAAAAAGTAAAGCTGAGGTGATGTCATGTACAACAATGGTAAAGGTGGTAAATGGGTTTTGGAGCATTGGAGATCCTCCGACTGCATCCCGAGAGCTATTCCTTCCATCTGACGTGCACCAGCTTCTATGGCTCGTGCTCACATTTCTTCATGTCCCACGTTAGGGCACAGGAGGCCGCTGTCTCGGTCTGAATGGGGGCCACACTGCTGTGCTTAGTGACCTTTTTACTTACTACCTTCTCATAGTCCGTTTAGGCCGAATAAGCAATGTCCCCTTTTCCTTTCTTTCAATGATAGATCTTTCGCTTGACAGTGGATGTTATGACTGTCTCTGCAAGTATGTTTTTCAACCAGTATGGCATCTTACTTTTTGTTAACCTCCTACTTTCTCTGGGTGATTCTTCACCTTAGGCCCGAAAAATCCTGCGGGAACTGAAGCACCAAAAGCGCTGTGAGGAGGCAGCCACCACCATCGCGGCCTATTGGCATGGTACCCAGGTAGGCCAGACACTGCCCCCTGGAAGGCAGCGGGGGCGGGTGTCAGAAATTGTTTCACTGGCTTAAGCTACTGAGCACGCATTTACCTGTCTCTCTCTCTCTCTGACGTTTTGGTGTGGGGTGGTGGCACACGCTTTCGCGTTTGCTGTGTGATGGTGACCGGTGTCTTTCTTCTCTCTCCTTTGGGAACCAGCAGTAACCTTTCCTGCCTTAAACTTTTCTGTAACTCCTTTTCAAATGCATCACAGGCGCGAAGGGAACTGAGCCGGCTGAAGGAGGAGGCTAGGAATAAACATGCTATTGCAGTTATTTGGGCTTACTGGCTCGGATCTAAGGTACTTGATTCGCACATCCCATTACTCCGTCCCGGAATCGGCAATAACCAGTTTGTATCTTTAGCCTGTCAGGGGGTGAATGCCTACAGTTAACAGTGCCTCACCCCGGTGCATGTCCTAGCCGCCGGATCGAATAAACCTGGATGTGGTAGTGTAGTAGTGCACGTTAGTAGGAGCCCTAAGCATGTGTAGGCCAAAAAGACTAATTGCTTATTAATGAGGCACTGGTCCAGTTGCTGTTTAACAAAACAAAACAAAAACAAAAACAAAAAAAACCCCTCAAGTAACATGCATGTTTCGTTGTGTTTTTTTTTTTTTCCTTCCCTTTTCTCTCCCCCCGCCCCCCAGCATATACCAGCAGTTTTCTAGAGATATTTTTGTTGGGTGGGGGGTTGGAGGGGCATGTTGGGAATGTTAAGATTTGGGCTTCAGTTGGTCTTCTGCAACATGGTGACAGGAAGAACACCTTTAACGCATGCCTTAAAAAATATTAATCCACGAATGAAATTGTTTTTTAGGCTCACTGTGGCCGCCATTGATTATTATAAGCAAAATATTGTATGCGAAAAGAATGATCATTTGTGATTGAACAGAAAGCTGTGTTCATGCAAAGCTAGCTATCATTGCCGCTGAAGAATCCCAAGAATTTCAGCTTCAGCTGTTTGTGTTCAGAAACAAAGGCCTCCTGAAATACTCTCACTAATCCCCAGGCAGAGTCGTGGGCTCTGTGAACATTTCACATACCCCAAGGGACGAGACTTTTAGATGTTTTTGTTACTTAGAAAATCAAAGGTCATCTCTGCTAAAAATGTGTATTCCAGTTAGAAACATAAATATCAATATAATCCTATGTTTTTAAGTTTACCTTGTCAGCATTATAAGTCCATCTTGTGAGAAAAATGAGAAAAGTCAACATTTGTCTGTATAAGGATCTTAATTTGCCAAAAAAACTTACCAGAGCTGTTCATTTGTGTCCCCCCCCTTGAAAAATCTGTGACGAACAGGCTAGTTCCTTTAGTAATCAGAGGGAAATGTCCTAGCTGAGGCAGAAGGACTCTTAGACAGTTATCCCTGGGGTTTCCCCACTGAGGTAGCCCATTTCCCAGTCTGAGTACCAAAAGTGGTGAAAAATCACTGCATGTTCCATCTTTCAAAGTAGCATGCTTCAGATTGACTGTTCCCTAAGATTAATTTTTAAACCATAAGTCGTTTCACTTTTTATCTTGCTTCAGTGTATTTCACTGTCCGGGGCCTTAGCTCACACTGAATTTTGATATGTGCTACTTCTAATTTGCTAATGGGAAAGAAACAACTTTATTCTTTCCATGTTATAAATGGTTGTTCACAAGAGTTGTCTTTTTGTACGTCCAAATGAATGAACACAGGAATTCCTAGCCTCTCTAGTCCTGGGTACTGGCAGCAAAGGGAAGTCTGCTGAAGTCACTAGGTGCCACTCACAGCTCTAAGGCTTGGATAGGGGAGAGAGAGAGAGTGTGGAGAATAGAAGAAGGAGAGAGAATGAGGAGGGAGGAAAAAGGGAAAACTGGAAGTAGGGGGGCAGAGGCGTGGCTTACCTCCGGTACCACATAGATGGCCTTCCTCTGGAACAGAGGCTCAGTGCACTAAACATACAAAGGACTGCACCAGACTTACGCGGATTCTTTGGGTTTAAGTGATTATGCCCTATTCTTCTATCATTCTGAAATCCTTATTCATAAGTTGGCTCTTCTGTTTGGTGGGGTATCTTCTTCTGGTCATTTGTGCTGTCTGCATTGGGCCGTCTCTTTTATTTACTATCTAAAACGTTCTAGGCTCGAAGGGAATTGAAACGCTTGAAGGAGGAGGCTAGGCGTAAGCATGCAGTCGCTGTCATTTGGGCTTACTGGCTTGGACTAAAGGTACTTCCCCACCCCTTCTTTCTGTCCACGGTGAACTCAATGAAGCCTAGCACTTACTAACCCAGAGAAAATGATTGATGATGCTTGCTTATGGTCTGCACAGTCTTTTACAGTGTCACCTTGCCTAATTCCATTTCTTTTTGAGAACAAACCTGTGCACTAATATTTTCTGATGTTGTTGTGTATTTCTTTAAATAATAGGTTTAAAGTATCTGAAGCATCTAATAAGACATTTTGTTATCCAAGTCCTATTTTGTGTTATCTTTATGAAGATGAAGTTTGTGTTTTGTTTTTTGTTTTTAATTCATGAGACAGAGTTACAGTAGTTGAGCTAAAAGCTGACCCATGGTCTACAGTGGCCAGCCAGGGGATATCTGGCTTTTGTTTCCCTTTGTCTGCCTATCCTGCTCCAATGATGGCTCCTGGAGCAGAGTGTTCTACAAAGTGACTGCCATTCTAATTGTTCAGCTTAGAAACCAAAGGGTTTTGCATTAAAAGTACAGATTTTGGCAATTAAGACCAGCAGTCGCTCATTCAGGTTAAAGAGAACTTTAGATTCAAATGCCTTTTAATGTAGGGTAGGGTTTATTTCAAAGTGGTGCTTACTGCTTTAGGCAAGATATGCGTAAGTAAACATGACTGAGCCCCAGAAACAACTTTTTGCCATTGAGAACAACTTTCGGGCAGTGTAAAGATTGTGTCTTCCTGTTATTCAGTAACTCATCACCTTAGGGTACCATCCATATTGTCTTTTAGGAATAATTAGGCCCCTATATGACACTGTTCCTCTTTATTATTTTTGCTATAACCATTCATCTTCTTCTAAATATTTACCATCTAGGAAGCCACTGACTCTGAATCTAAACAGCATCAGCAGTATCTGTATGTTCTGCTTTTGAGTAATCTGCATTTTCCCCTGAAAATTTAGCCTGTAAACTTTCAGTGAATTAACCTTTTTGATTATACTGAATATTCATCAAGTAATTTTTGAAGTACTTAAGAAGTAACTTAAGTATGAATTTAAGATGTTCCATTTCAAGAATTCTTTTTTTTTTTTTTTTTTTTTAAATTTCTTTTTCCAACGTTTTTTATTTATTTTTGGGACAGAGAGAGACAGAGCATGAACGAGGGAGGGGCAGAGAGAGGGAGACACAGAATCGGAAACAGGCTCCAGGCTCCGAGCCATCAGCCCAGAGCCTGATGCGGGGCTCGAACTCACGAACCTCGAGATCGTGACCTGGCTGAAGTCGGACGCTTAACCGACTGCGCCACCCAGGCGCCCCCCATTTCAAGAATTCTAAACAAGTTCTAGAACTACTTTTTTTAAAGGATTTTATTTCCCATTTTACTCACTTGTTCTGATTTGTATCCTGATTTTCATAAAAGGAAGGAACCAAACATTGAGTCAGGATTTTTACCCTGTATAATACCTACCAGCAGAATCACATTTGTCTTCAGTTTCTGGGTTTAACTCACTGCATATGATTTCAGAAAATCTTTCCATCTTAGGGGTGTATGCTAGTAACCTAGAAATCAAATTCAGTTTGTAGGTGAATGATGTTGGAGCTGAAATTAACGGGCCCTACTCTAGATGTAACTGCCCCTCCCCCCCGGTTTCCAATAAAACAGAAGTATTTTAATATGTCACCATTATCATTGTTCTGAAATAAGATTAAACTTCTCTGAAGTCCAAGAATGTAATAATTTTGTGCTAGTGTTTTTTAAAGAATGATGTTGATACGAGCAGTAGTTTTGCCCTTTTATGTGATTAGGTTCTTGTGGAATTGATTACAAAGTTCAGTGGATCATTTTTGGACTGCCAGGGCCCGTGAGGGGAGCCCATTTTATATGTCAACGTGTCACCAGCCTTTTCTATTTATAGCTGTATTTCTGGAGAATATTTCAGGGGAAATATTGCTGTGAATATCAAAAAGCATGTTGCAGTGAACTCACTTACAATGACATTCAACTACATATGGTAGGACTTCCAGTATATTTCTATGGATATGTTCACATGAAACCTTACTCTAACTTCTCTGCTTCCCTATGCTATTAAAATTCCAGGAGCCAATTAAAAGGTACCATTTTTCTTCCCTTTGTCCCTTCTAACTTTATTAGTTTGAGATTTGAATCTAGCAACTCCTTGGCTAAAGGAGAAAGGATAATCAGTACCATAGAATATGAACAAAAGGAGGAACTTCCTGTGTGGTATCTGGGGGAAAATTTTTTTTAAATCTATTTTTGAGAGAGGGAGGGGCAGAGACAGAGGGAGAAAGAGAGAGAGAGACAGAGAAACCAAACAGGCTCCACACTGTCAGCGCAGAGCCTGATGGCAGGACTCAAACTCATGAACTGTGAGACCATGACTGAGCCGAAACCAAGAATCGGATGCTTAATTAACGACTGAGCCACCCAGGTGCCCCTGGAAAAAATTTTAAACCGTAATAATCCATAAGCATAGAGAATGGGTCTGGCGCTTACATGTCCCATGGGACCAGGGAGGTCACAAGGATGAGGGAAGTAGCAGATGGAAGGTGGATCAGGAAGGATGGGGCCCTGAGCAGCGTGGAGCATCCTGTCTCATAAAGGCAGCCACAGCTCCTGTGGTCTCGTCTTTGTCATGTGGGAATGGGGCTCACCGTTGCTAGATCTTAGAAAACTTGAAGAGAAACGTGTAGCCTGAATTTTCCGTGCGAAGTGCTTCATTTAAAAATAGGCATATAAAACATTTTTCTACAAACTGAATTTGGCTAGTAGGTTGTGAGCTTGGATTTTGAACATGTGCGGTTAAACCCAGAAAAGTAAAGACAAAAGAAAAAGGCATAGCATGTCTGAATTATTCAAATAGGCTGGTGTTTTGCTAAAATCTAACGTTCTCATTGACAGCCGAGTGACAATCGGTATTTTAAGTAGTTTTTAGGTTTTTTTTCTCAGTTTCAAAACTTAACTGTATCATTCATTCATTCATTCGGTAAACACCTCACCTAGTGATTTGATTTGTTGAACACTAGTGTGCAAAGTGCATATGACAGTGTAGCAAGGAAGAAATAGGGAAACTAAAACTGTAACATGTCCTGAGTGTTGTGATAGTGTTAGTAGAAACTCGGACAGGAGTAGAGATGAGAGAAAAATTAATGCAGTTAAATGGGAGATTTCTAATGGGGACTACAAGCTTCTTTTTAAATTCTTATTTTTAGGCACAATGAGCTCCCAGCACATGGCACTGAAGTCCTGTCTTCGTATGCAGGGCTTTGGAAGCTGTGCTGGAGTTCGTCAGGCATTTTCTTTTTACCTTTTAAGAACAATTTGCAGTGAAAATTACCTATGTAATTTTTTTTCTGATATGTATTTTGATTTGTGATGAGTTTGTAGCCATGCCTGTAGAGTGTTTCTTGTCAAATCTTCAGGCACTTTAAAAATGAATTGAGAGGATTTAAAACATTAGAACATTCTGGTATTACCACTTTGCAGCTCTCGTTTCTTTTTCTCTGATTTAAAATCCACTGTCTCAGTGTGCTTCAATCATTTTACTATATCCAGAAAGTCACTTATAAATTTGACTTGTTCCACTTTTTTTTCATTTTTGATAGAAGTGTATCATATGGGCACCTGCCGGCCACACGTTAACCTCTGTGTTCTGCTGCTTCTATTTAAAGGTCCGTCGGGAGTACAGGAAATTCTTCAGAGCCAATGCTGGAAAGAAAATTTATGAATTTACGCTTCAGAGAATTGTAAGTCTATACTTTCTGTGTGGCTAATTAGCATTATAGGACTAACTAGTGAATAGCATCACCTCAATCATAAATGACTTGTTTGGTAACTATTAAACCCTAGCTGTGACACTGAGAGATTGTGACCTTCTATCATTTCCCCTCAAATTCAGGTAGAATTGTGTCAGGTTAGCGGCCCACATATGATCAATGAAATGTTCTTTGACAGAGAGAACGTTCTCTGGGGAAGGGGAACCCAAGAAAGCGTGGTGTGTTGGTTCAGGCTACTATAATGAAAATACCATAGACTGTGTGGCTTAATAAACATTTATTTCTCATAGTCCTGGAGACTGGGCAGCCCAAGATCAGAGTGCCAGCATGGTCTGGTTCTGGTGAGGGCTTTTTCCTAGTTTCCTCACAGGAGAAGAGGAAGAGAAGCAAGCTCTTTCCCGTGTCTTCTTATAAGAGCAGTAATCCTGGGAGCACCACCCCTTGTAACCTTACTCACCTAATTGCCTCCCCAAGGCCCCGTTTCCTAACACTATCCCATTGGGGGTTAGGATTTCAACATAGGAATCTGAGGGGAACACCAAGATCTTGCCCTGCTGAATTGCCACAAGCTGCTGCAGGGCGAGGTTGGTCAACGAGGAGAGCAGGGCTGTGCCACGATTCCGGGATGGATTCTAACATTTCCCTCTGGCTTCCAGAGAAGTATATGTAGCGGTAACGTGCAAACTCTGGAGCCAACTCACTCTGCCATGTACAGATTTACAGCTTGAGCAAATCACATAACTTCTGTGAGCCTCATCTTGTCACCTGTAAAATGGAGTGATAATTGAAAGCTCTTACAGTTCCTGGCTCATATTCAGTACTCTAGAGCAGTGCTGTCCGATAGGACTTTCTGCAGCAGTGAAAATGTTCTAGATCTTTGTGGTACAGTAAAGTCTAGCCACATGTGGCTGTTGAGCACTTGAAATGTAACTAATGTGATTGATGAACTGGATTTTTAACTTTTAATTACTAAAGATTTAAACAGAAATAGTCACAGGTGGCAAGTGGCTGCCTATTAAACAATGCAGCTTTCTAGTGTTAGCTGGTGTAAGTATTAATGTTAATTTTAAAATTAGTGTTCTGGGGCGCCTGGGTGGCGCAGTCGGTTGAGCATCCGACTTCAGCCAGGTCACGATCTCGCGGTCCGTGAGTTCGAGCCCCGCGTCAGGCTCTGGGCTGATGGCTCAGAGCCTGGAGCCTGTTTCCAATTCTGTGTCTCCCTCTCTCTCTGCCCCTCCCCCGTTCATGCTCTGTCTCTCTCTGTCCCAAAAATAAGTAAATGTTGAAAAAAAAAATTAAAAAAAAAAAAATTAGTGTTCTTCCTTTCTCTTAACCATTTAGTGGAGCTTAGATTTTCCCAACCAATACAGAGAGTTAAAAAGAGATTTTCCAGAGGAGTTGCAACATTTTATAAACTAAAACTTGCTAAATTCCACCAAGTGGTTTGCTTGATCCTGGTTTATGTAAAACAATGACTTTTCTGGTATATTTTACTTATCTAGCATTTTTTGTCAAACTCAACATAGGTGCAAAAATACTTCTTGGAAATGAAAAATAAGATGCCTTCCTTATCTCCAATAGACAAGAACTGGCCATCAAGACCTTACCTATTTTTGGATTCTACTCACAAAGAACTAAAAAGGATTTTCCACTTGTGGAGGGTAAAAAAATGCCTTGTTAGGTTTTTTTTTTTTTTTTCAGAGACTTCTTAACATATATTTTGAGCGTTTGAAAAATGTTATGTAAAAGCAGATTTTTAACCATGCTCTTCCTCTAACCTCAAAGAGACGTATCTGAGGACCTTGGTATTTTTGAACCATGCACCGTACTTGGCTTTGTGTGAAAATTTCTAGAGCAGCCAGGTGTTCCCATGACTGTCACCTGTCATCCTTGTCTGGAAAGGAGAGTGTGCATGGCTCCAGTGTCTTTCCCTTCCAGATTCCAGTTGCTTTAAAGTAGTTCAGGTTTTTGTTTTGTTTTGATGTGTTTCTGTTATTCATCTTTACCTGAAGGAATACTGCCAGAGATAGAAATAATAAAATTTGAACATCTTCACAGGATATAGTTAAATCTGGAAGATTGTAGGAGTTTACTTTCTAAGATGTATTGAGTACGTGCATAAACGTACGTGAGAACACTACATGTTTTGATGGACTGGGGAAAAAAACGGCTTTAGAGTGCCTCCCGAGACATCAAAGAGATTAAGTTTCCCTCAACCTGAATTAAATGGAAGCTAAAAATCTATTTGACATTGCCTTATATTTTTAGCTTCCTTAATTTTATGAGAGCATAACGTGTTATTTAGGTGTTGCCCAGAAGTACGTGGGTTACTTATATAGATGTTGACTTTATTTTAGTAGTTCAGTTGATATATGGAATGCTAAATATGTACAAGTGTCAGATACGATATAATCATTAATATGATAATCATATAATCCTACGATATAATCATTGAAAGGCTTATTATATTTGGTAAGTGAATGACTGATGGATATCACTTCCAGGAAACTCTTTCCTGCTGGGCACTGTAGGCTTGTCCCTTTCCAGAATTACATATGTAGAGTGACATTATCACTGAATAGTGTAATATTGGTGACACAGCATGTGGAACTGGATTCTCCCTTCTGTTCCCTAACTTAGTGAGTCAGTTTGGTGAAATTCACCAGTGTCTCAGTGCTCATCTCCCTCTTTGAGTCTGACAGACTATTTTCAGAAATAACGATGGGGAGCTTCTAATGCCAGGAGTCTGCTCTGCCTCTGCTCTCCCCTGGCCCCTGGCCCTTACTTCCCTTGCATTTGGGGATAGAGAATGAGAGGGATGTGTTTATTCCTGAAAGGGTGGGCAGCAATGCTAACATTCCCTTATACCATTATATCAGTGGGTCTCAACTACATTTCTAACTGAATGTCTTAGAGTTCATCTGAAACACCTGGCCTAGGGGCACCTGGGTGGTCAGTCGGTTGAACGTCCCGACTCTGACTCAGGTAATGATCTTGCAGTTTGTGAGTTTGAGCCCGATGTTGGGCTCCGTGCTGACAGCTGAGCCTGGAACCTGCTTTGGATTCTGTGTCTTCCCTTCTCTGCCCCTTCCTTGCTCATGCTCTGTCTCTCTCTCTCTCAAAAATAAATAAACATAATAAAAAATAAAAATAAAACAACCTGTCCCTGCCCCTCCAGCCACCCCCTGTGTCCCTTCAGTACCATCTCAGAATCCAGCCAAAGGAGAGATTTCTCAGGTCAGGTGTCCATACCGTAAAATGGCAATAGGGGGTTCAGAGCAGTATTTTTCAAACCAAGGGTTGTAGCATATTTGTGAGTCGTGAAATCAATTTAATAGATTACTGACCAGCATTTTAAAATGAAATACAGTAGGATAGAAGACGTCCACATGGCCAACCGACACATGAAAAAATGCTCAATATCACTCATCATCAGGGAAATACAAATCAAAACCACAATGAGATACCACCTTACACCTGTCAGAATGGCTAAGATTAACAACTCAGGCAACAACAGATGTTGGCGAGGATGCAGAGAAAGAGGATCTCTTT